CGCCCTATTAAAAAAATTAATTTATAAACAACACTTAATAATTTTTTACCACTTAATACCAAAAAAAAGGGTTAAAGGCGCTTAATCAATGTCCCCCCCCCCCCCCCCCCCCAACTGTATCCACCACTCTTGCAGTCAGGTCTCGTCCTGCTGAACCCTTGGAATGGTATTGTACCTTGGTACCTCTTTAGTATCATTTTTTTTTTTTTTGGTCAATGAACCAATTAAATACATGTTATTTTTCTTTTTTCTCATTCGTACTTCATTCTCGCATTATCTTCCGCAATATTTCCAAGTCTCCAAAATATCCTCCATGTCGTTTCTACTTCTAGCAGCTCCAGTTCTATGCATCATGTAGATCGTCTAAGTTTTTTCTCTATCTAAATCTGCATTCTCCCGCAATTCTTGTTGACCTGTTCGGTCTCTAAATCCAATAAGTTGTTCTGGTGATCATAATAATAATCTTTTACTGCTTTGTTACGTCGCAAACATACAACCGCTGGATCGTAGAGGAAAGCCATACTACAGTTCTAAGCTACCAAAAGCTCCTCGAAACTAATAGGTAGTAATAGGCAGCTGAGCTACCTCTTTTAATCTTCCTGAGTTTTTAGTATCTGGTAGTTACCTAAGGTCAAAGTCGAAACAATATGTCGTCTTCGTCACGACCTTCGTCAATTACGACAGGTCGGCCCTATCCTCATGATCATGCTCCACCGACCCCGAGTGGCCTTCGCCATAGTCGCACTATCTCGTCCTCTTCAGCGAGTGATACCTTCGAAGCGGCAAATTCTGCCGGTCCGAGTACGCGCCGCGATCACTCTCACGACGACAGCAACGAGAACACTTCTCTTCTCCACCACGAGCGCGCGCACGATGGCCCCTGCGACCATGGCACCTTCTCCCCTCGTGTATCTAGCCCTCCGCCAAAGACTGGTAATCTTGACACTGAGATAGGATCAATGGCGGATTCGGATAGCTCCTTACCGTCTAGTGAGACTCAGCTGAAGGGGAGCTGGAGCTGGAGAGAGACGTTTTCGAGCAAGGTAAAGAGCAAGAAAATGACAAGTTCGAGCACACTGGCACAGCGGCATGGCGTTAAGGACTCGTGGGTGATGTACCTCTCATACTACGTGCCCTTCCTCATATGGATCAAGCAGTACAGATGGTCATGGCTGAGAGGCGATCTCACAGCCGCCATCACCATTGCCTCTATGTATCTGCCCATGGCCCTCTCGTATGCCGATAACCTCGCACACGTTCCTCCGATCAACGGCTTATATGCCTTTGCTATAAATCCCTTCATATATGCGTTATTGGGAAGTTGCCCGTTAATGGTGGTCGGGCCAGAAGCAGCCGGTTCTCTACTTGTCGGCTCCATTGTCAAGAATAGCATCGACACCGGCAAGGGCGAAGACGATAATGCCGTTTTGCAAGCTAGGGTGGCTGGTGTGGCTGTCGGCATAGCCGGTGCGACAGTCTTTCTCATGGGCGTATTCCGCCTGGGATTCCTTGATAGCGTCTTGAGCCGGCCGTTCCTCCGAGGCTTCATTTCCGCCATTGGCGTTGTCATCTTTATCGACCAATTGATTCCCGTTTTGGGACTTCACGGTATAGCGAAGATGACGCCAGGAGTTACGCACGGAAGTACCGTGCAGAAGCTCGAATTTGTACTCACACATCTTGGTGACAGACATAACCTTACTGCCATCGTCGGTATCGTCGGATTTGTTGTTATCATGGTATTACGGTAAGTCCCGGAATGCACCGCCGTTGTTAGTACCTAAGGATTTATCTCGGCTGATCAAATACGTAGGGAGGCCAAGAGGCGCCTGCAGCCACGATATCCGGGAGTAGCATATTTCCCCGATAGACTTATTGTAGTTGTATTCTCCGCAGTTATGGCTTGGCATCTGGGCTGGGAGGCAAAGGGTGTTCCGGTGCTAGGTAAAGTTGAAGCAGCGTCTGGTCACGTCTTCACTTTCCATAACCCTTTCCAATTAGCCTACATGCCCCATATCCGAGATGCCATGGGCACATCCTTCTTGATTGGCATGCTTGGTTTCTTCGAGTCTTCAGTCGCCGCCAAGAGTTTAGGAGGCGAAGAAGTCATCGAAGGGATGCAGTTGAGTCCCAATCGAGAACTCGTAGCTCTCGGTGCAGCTAACCTAGTCGGTGCCTGCTTCATGGCCATCCCAGCATTTGGAGGTTATGGTCGAAGCAAAGTGAATAAGAGCACGGGTGGGAAGAGTCCTATGAGTTCCCTTATACTAAGCGTCCTTACCGTTATATGCATCCTGTTCCTCCTTCCATGGTTCTATTATCTTCCTGTGAGTAACCCACGTATTTCAAAAAAAAAAAAAAAAAAAAAAAAAAACATCCCGAAGTCTCCCTTAAGCTTCCGCCGCAGGTTAGCGTTCATTGTGTGAAATATTGAACTGACCATGGAACAGAAACCCGTCCTCTCCGCGTTGATTATGGCGGTCGCTTGGTCTCTGATCGAAGAAGCACCCCATGACATATCATTCTTCCTGAGAATCAAGGGCTGGACCGAGCTTGCCCTTATGGCTGTCATCCTAGCTGTCACAGTTTTCTTCTCTCTTAATCTGGGCATTGCAATTGGCATCGGCCTGTCGCTTTTGCAAGTTATTCGTCATGCAACCCGCCCTCGTATACAAATTCTAGGCAGGGTTCCCAATAGTGATCGCTTCGCTAACGCCGAAGAGCACCCTGAAGATCTCGAGTTTGTAGAAGGTTGCCTCATCGTGAAGATACCCGAACCCCTGACATTTGCAAATACGGGAGAGTTGAAGAATAGGCTTCGACGACTCGAGCTTTATGGTACGGGCAATGCGCATCCGGCATTGCCGCGCCTTCGTCCACAGGCCAGTAACAGAAATATCATTTTTGACATTCACGGAGTAACCTCGATGGATGGCTCCGGTACTCAGGTGCTAGAGGAGATAGTACGCAATTATCGGGAGCGTAGCGTTAGGGTATTCTTCACCCGACCCATCAGCCGACAGAACGAAGTATGGCAGTTGATGGAACGAAGCGGCATCGTCGAGCTCGTTGGTGGAAAACGCCGCTTCGTCGACGACGTCGGAGAAGCCATACGCATGACGGAAGTGGAAGATTTTGAAGAAACGGGAGCTTGCGCGGCTGCGAGTGATGATCTCTCTTAGATAAAAAGGGGACGTACCTTGCGAGGGGTAGAGCTCAAACCCAATGTTTCATACAGACTTGTCGATTACTAGCGTTTCATCTACAAACCTTCGAAAGCTTACGCGTTGGGAATCACATGTCAGGAACCATGTCGTTCCCTATACGGTGAAGCAGAGGGTCTGCGTGGCCATCTTTTAAAGAGTATATCCCGGATATCGTTTTTCCACCAGCAATATTACTATTCACTCTTTCATCATATACCCCTATCGAATAGCAGGAGTGGTCAGTCATCAGCATCATTCAGAACCAGCTGCGGACTCGGCCCTGGATTCGGCAGAATACAATGCACGATAAATATTGCATAGCGCTTATGAGCATTCGAGGGTGGCGTTTGGATACTCAGATTTGTAGAAAAGCACAGCGGGAGTCCTGCTTGATTATTTTATGTTCACGTTAGCAGCGCGTTAGAAGTAACGGTCCTCATGAGCTTAGAAACATGACAAGATGATGGTGTATCACATTAGCTTTAAATTCAAATTAAACTTGCTCAACGCAATACTGCATTTTTACAGTCGACTGAGGTAGGTAGATATATCCATAAAATATTATTTAAATGTGACCAGTCTACATTAATCCCCCCATCGCAGAACTCCTAAGCAGCTAACCTAGGATATTGCATCACATTGTAAATTTCATTTAGGACACTAAGTCAGTTCCTAAATCGACTTCATCTTGCTCACTTACTCGTTCCCGTCCTCCCGATGACCCACGGGTTGCCGGCCTGGATCCTCGCGCCGAACTTGAAGTCGAAGTATGCAGCAGCGGAAAATCTATATCTAAATCTACCTGATGAGTAGCCATCATCATCATCGCTGTCGCACGAGGTCCAGCCGCTGTTTGCATCACCCCTGCGCGTGCGGTGACATAGCACCGCGTACCCGCTGAAATTGGCGTGCAGCTCGAAGCTAAATCCTTCAGTGCTGTCGTTGTGCGCTATGCCGTGCCAGTGCCGGATCAGGAACTGCTGGTACCCGTCCTGCGTGCAAGGCATATAGACGGGGGCTGGGTTCTGCGTTTTGGTATGGGTTGGAGAGCCTGCTGCGACGCAGTGGCATGATAGTAACGCGATGATGCCTGATACCTTCTTCATCCTTTTATTAAGGAGCTGATGTATAATACAGACTACCCTTTCACTAGATCATACGCGGCTGCTGCAAATTACTTATCATTATTCACTACCTACCTGGGACCTAAGCCATAGGCGCTTCGCGACTTTACTCTATGACATGGCACAGAACGTAATTCGTGTTTGGAATATTAATTGGGAAAAATGGTAGAGCCTACATACCTACCATCTAATGCCCCAGGCAGAATTCGTATAGGCATACTTTATTTAGCCTCAAATTTATTTTGGAGTATAGTAGTAAGCCTTTACTCAGATCCCGCGTCCAGACTCCGGATATATATTTACACAGAAATCATGATAGGTAAGCGTTTACCGTTGCAATATAGGACAAGGCGAATACCACGTAGAGCATCCCGTTAGGTTAGGTAAACAGTCGAAGTTTTTTTTTTTTACCGCCGTTAGACACGCGACACGCTGGTTCCACCTATTAATCGAATTGTATTTCGCGCCGTTGATGTCTACATACCCGGGAGAGCATATCGGGGAGATGTTATTCTTTTCGTTGTTTGGGGTTTCAAAAAAAAAAAATGAAGCCCGTCGGTTAGGCACTTATCGTGGGGCTTTTCTCGTCGCTCAATTGCCTAAAGCAGTTGTTTTCTGTTGAGATGCGAATTGCGCTGATTGTTGCCGAACACTCTACATTCATAGATACATCCATACGACATGCAGGAAACCCAGGAGCGCATACGACTACTACTACTACCTTAGGTCCTGAGGCACGTCGCAGAAACGTACAGGGGGGTTGTAATGCACAGTAGCATTGGCATCGGTGTTCTTGCGGGCTCTATCTCATGGTTCTATCTTATCAGATGCTTTGCCCCCCTGAATTCCCGGGAAGGCTTTCGGGGACGTTTCCAGTCTGAGGCTTGTACCACGATGTTCCAAACAGGATCGGACCCTGCAGGCTATTAGATCATTTTCAGCCTTATCGGTTCTTCGAAATCTGCCTTGTGCGGCGGATGTAATCTCATTAGTGCAACCTACATATAGTCGGCTTCCGTCTGCGGTAGTCGCACGACGTGACGACTTACAAGTCAAGTAGCACGTGGGAATCCCGTCTCGAGGTGAATATCTTATGCTCGCTCTAGCTTTCGTAAATGCGATTTAAGGAGAATGTAACCTGCGTTTAGTGCACCTACGAGATAGTTAGTATCCATGGGAATATAAAAATATAATATTTCAATGGAACGAATAGTGTTACATTACAGGTCAAGTATACAAATTTGTATCACAATTACGCAGCATGATGAGGCTTTTTATGATAACCTTATAATAATGACTCTATAGTTGTTAATTATATAGCGATTTTAGTAACTCATAGCCGGATAGCAAAGTTGGTGATAGAGCCATCTACCTAATTATACCTACTAAAGTATCGCGAATTGAACTATGATACCAAGATATAGTTTCAGTTATTTATATCTTGTGAATCGTAGGTACAAAGTCATTCATACATATACTGTAATTAGAAGAGAAGAGGGTACTGTACCTTCATATATACGTCTGGGGCATTTGACCTATCACTTTTCATCAAGCTAATTCAAGACGACTGCATACTTGCAGTGCTACAAATTACAGCATTTCTCTCTGGTGGAGGGCATAGCCACTCCCGATGTGAATTAGGTATTACATGATATGAGGCATTTTCCTGATATATTTTGTGTGTGTCATCTTTGCCCTCCCTTGAACTTGAAGTCAGAGTTTCAGCGAAATAATTTATATCTGTATGAAATAGTAGATACATAACAAGGAGAGAGGATACATTGTTACACCGTCAAAATCTGGCTGATATATGGCTCCTATCTTCAGCATCTGAAATACTAAAGGGGTAGGGAGGATGACAGCTTGGGGAACAATGTGCAAGATAAAAACAAACGAGAAAAAGGCATAAAAATGTCAACTGTAGGAATACATGTCCTCCTTACCTTCGAGTGCCGAATCCAAACCTGGTATCCTTGATAGTCCTAGGTTAATATTCATTGGTCTCAGTATCACTCGCTATTCTTCTGTCACCTCTATCACTGGCGGATTTTGTGTATTAGATACGACGACATACCTAGTTCAACTTTATAAATACAATTTTTAAGTAAGGTTATCTAACTTAGTTTCTGCCTCTTACCGAATTCATCGTTTGCCTTGTGCCCGAGATTTACCTTGAGTCCTTCTAACAGTGAAGGTACTTAGTGTAAGATGTATTTTACCTATCCAGATTCCATTGGACTTTCAACCTCCAATTACCTAAGCCATATATTGAGCAAGCCCCTCACCTTTTGCTAGGCTTGCCTGCTTGAGTATATATATTGAGGCTGTGTATGGTAGCGCAGAAAAAGTTCATCCGGGCTTTGTCTCGGAAGTCTTGGGTGTAAGATTTTCGCCCTTGAACCCGAAGGACCTGACATCTGTTTTGACATTTTCTTTTTATTTCCTTACTCGTCTTATTCTTGTTTAATTATCTACCTACCTACCTAGGTACTTCGATATGTCAGAGGAAACCCCCTATTAGCGAGGAAGTGGTGATGCAATTTTGTCAAACAATCACACAACGTATCACAGGTACCAAACATATATTGATCGGAACTGGACTTAGTAGCTCCAATTCCCGTTCGGCTTACTCTTAGAATATGACATCTCCAGGAACCAGTGAGTTGTATCTTTGTATAAATCATAATCAAAACCAAGGTGACCCGGCTTTCTTAACGGGTTCCCGAGGTAAAACCATCAAATTCGATATGCATCATTCCGAAAATCGCCTCAAGGAGAATGCAGGCTTAGGGCACTACCAAATAGGTGCATCTTTACCAGGTGATATCGTGTCTTGAGTCTTCTGCCTTCCGAGTCAGCCTTGCGAGAAGGAGTAGTCTTACCTAAACTGATACAGGATAGTACTTGTGAACCACATTCCTCCTTCTTACTTACCTAATTAGTAGCCCATCGTAGGCTATGTCTTATGATGCATTATATTGTAATTTTAGCGACATGGTTATGTGGTTGCTACGAACTTTAGGACAAGAATTTTGGTATATCTTAGTGTTCCTGTACAACTGAATAAGTCTGAGTAACTTTAGAGGTGCATCGATATGATATTGGCTTAGCTTTTCTTGTGATAAATGTGATATCTTCTTTAATTAGTTTAATAGGGGTCTAGTGCCATATAATCACCTTTTCATGGACTTCCTATGTCAAATCAGGGGCTATAACCAGTGTCACACAGGGGTCATTATCAGAGGAGTAGATTGGAGCTATGTCATGCAATACAAAACCACAAGTCAACGTGTATTCTATGAATAACTATCAAGTTGGTTAGTCACTTCATAAGCACCATTAGGGGATTTTCCAATCCTTTGCTCCCCCTTTCCCCTTCCCTTCAAATGCGTAGACTGCAATGCATGAATTAAGCCTCGATTCAGGTAGATTGTAGTTCAGTGAGCCACCCACTAACGTGACAAGAAGATTTGGCAAAGCTTTCGCGGTAATACAGCAACAATCATATACGTCATGCCTGGCATGCCCAGTGCACTATTTGGGCCAAGTGTTATTGTTTGTCTAAATCTAGGCATGCTCTCCTCGCTACGTACCTAGATGACTCCGCCCTTTCTGTTGGTGGTTGGCGTGCCAGGTCATCAAGCACCGACTAAAGCAAGGGAACGTGTTCATGAAGATAAGAATTAGTTAGAAAATAGTTAGAACAATTAAACTAGGAGGTATGCATCTTTTTCACGCGTCGAATTTAGGCGAGTAGTTGAAGCTTGGTAGGTTTGTGATATCATCGCTGTCGATAGTATAATTCGAATGATTTCCACGTGTAATTGGCCAAGGCGATTTTCGCTGATGAATCGCGATACGGTCTGAGAAACGGGCCATGGGTCCGGTTTTTTAATACAAATCATACTAGGAAATCTAGATCAGGCAAAGCCAATAAGCAGGTCGAATGTAGAAGTTTAATGTTCAAAGTGCGTATCGCCCATCTTCTAATTGGTCAGTTAGGTAGGTAGATATCTACACAGCCTCACTCGACCCCTTGGCATAAGTGAGGGACATCGGAAATTTCTTCTCTTTTCATGGTTAATCCTTCAACCCCGTTGTATTGGTATCTGTTAACCGCTTGAATCAGAGCCCACGTTTTATGTATCTGTCATAGTCAAGTCACTGGTGGTCTTGGGGGACATCGATGCGGTTTTTATGTTTGATATCTGAACGAATGTGGCCTCCAACACAGCATTTTGCCTCTTTCTGCGTCATGCGCCCATAACACAGCCTGCCTTTCAAGACAGGTTTGACAACTCCGCCCTGTCTAGATGGTGAAAAAGGCTCAACGTCTTTAATGAAGGGTCGAATATTTGTCTGTTGCAAAACTACAACTTTCTCAACCTTTACTACCTTGGGTACCTGTATCTACCTCATGTCAAGCAACTAGGTTAGGTACAGGTAGTTGGTATTTCAGAACCTAGACCAAGCTGCGGTCTGCGTTACGACGGGGGCCCACCATCTACGATACCAAATATTGCTACCCTCGACCTGGCTCTTTCGCCATTGCAAACTCCGCTTTTGCACAGCCTTGACCCCAAGAACTCGTTATTACCATTTAGATAAATCTACAACCCAGCTTGGCTTGGGGCGATATATCACGACTGTCACTCTTCGGCCTCGGTAAAAGTGGAAATTCTAAACGGTGAGTCTTGACGGACGTCAGCATATGCACTTTCTAAGGCCTCGCAGCCTCCCGATCCCTTTTTTGTTTATATGATACCCCTTCACCGAGCTGTTCAGTTCTCAGAATCTACATCAGCAACATATCCTATCCTATCTTAGGAATACATAATACCTACCTAACCTATGTACCGATACCAACTGCTAGCCGATGACATACCTCATATTCATTCATCTGTTAAGATAGTAGCTGGCAGCAGTTGCATATCTTCATAATCATGGCTAGCAACAGTTTGGCGCCGCCAACGTTGGCGATCGATACGCGAACACGTCCGAGGAGCGATACTAATGAGACCAGAGTGGTGACACCTGCCGGATCTTTTGTTTCCAACGTCTCAAATCCTTTTCTAACGCCGGCTCAATCTAACTCTAACCCCTTCTCAACACCTGCTCCATCAGACTGTGGAGCAAGTGTGTTATCAGTAGATCCTGAGGCGGCTCTCCGTCCGGATCCTGGCACGGAGGCAGATTTCCAAGTCGAGAATAACCCGTTCGCATTCAGTCCGGGCCAGCTAAATAAATTATTAAATCCGAAATGCTTACCCGCATTTCGTGCTTTAGGCGGCATCATCGGGATAGCACGCGGCTTACAGTCTGATGTCAACGCCGGCCTGAGCGTTGACGAGGCAACAGTACGAACATCTATCACGTTTGAACAGGCCGTAAGGAGAACGTCCGATAAGTTTATAGAGACGCCAGAGCGAGCGCCAGAACCCGGATCCGACTTCTTTGTTGACCGAGCAAGGGTCTTTGGAAGGAATGTCCTCCCAGCTAAGTCTGCAACCCCGATATGGGTTCTTATGTGGAATGCGTACAATGACAAGGTCATTATACTTTTAACGGTAGCCGCGATTATATCGTTGGCGCTTGGTCTTTACGAAACTTTCGGAACGGTAGATGAACCGGGCGCGCCACCGTCAATAGATTGGGTTGAAGGTGTCGCAATCATCATCGCTATTCTTATCGTCACTTTGGTAGGATCAATAAACGACTGGCAGAAGGAACGGGCTTTCGTGAGACTCAACGCTAAGAAGGAAGACCGCGAGATCAAAGTCGTTCGATCAGGAAAGTCGTTCATGATCAACGTTCACGACATCTTGGTTGGAGACGTTCTGCACATCGAGCCCGGTGATCTCGTTCCCGTCGACGGAATTTACATTAACGGCCATGACTTGAAATGCGATGAATCCTCGGCTACTGGCGAATCTGACGCTATCAAGAAGGTACCGGCTGCACAGGTCATGGAAGCTCTGGAATCAGGAGCCAGCCAAAAAGGCCTTGACCCTTTTATTATTTCCGGTTCAAAGGTTCTCGAAGGTGTCGGCACGTTCCTTTGCACTTCGGTCGGTGTGCATTCGAGCTTCGGAAAGATTATGATGTCTGTTCGAACGGAAGTCGAAGCGACTCCTCTTCAGAAGAAACTCGAAAGACTTGCTGTTGCTATCGCAAAACTGGGAAGTACAGCAGCTGCTCTTCTCTTCTTCGTCCTGCTATTCCGCTTCCTCGGTAGCCTTTCAACGGACACGCGTTCCGACTCGGCGAAGGCCTCCACCTTCTTGGACATCCTAATCGTGGCCGTAACTATTATCGTCGTGGCTGTACCCGAAGGTCTACCCCTGGCTGTTACCCTAGCGCTGGCCTTCGCCACCACCCGATTGCTAAAGGAGAATAATCTTGTCCGCGTGCTACGCGCCTGTGAGACGATGGGAAACGCCACCGCGATTTGTTCCGACAAAACGGGGACATTGACAACCAACAAGATGACGGTCGTCGCGGGAACATTTGGCCAATCAAGTTTTGCCAAATCCGAAAGTGAAAAGCCAGGTACCCAGACCATCTCTCAATGGGCGGCCAGTCTTCCCCAAAAGACTAAGGAGGCTATCGTCCAATCGGTGGCTATCAACTCTACTGCTTTCGAAGGCGAGGAGGCTGGGCAATTCGCATTCATTGGCTCTAAGACCGAAACGGCACTTCTTCAGCTTGCAAGAGACCATCTTGGGATGCAATCATTGGCCCAGACCCGTGACAACGAGCAGGTAATTCAAATGATGCCTTTCCTCTCAGCCAAGAAATGCATGGGCGCAGTCATAAAGTTACGAGACGGTTCTGGATACAGACTCTTGGTAAAGGGCGCTTCGGAAATTCTCTTAAGACTCTGCAACGCCAAGGCAGATGTTCAAATCCTTGCTGCCAGCGATCTTTCAGAGAGTGATCGCAACGACCTGACATCTGTCATTGATTCTTATGCTAAAGGATCTCTGAGAACTATCGGCATCGTATACCGGGACTTTGAGAATTGGCCTCCTGCTGAAGCTGAGGTAGAAGAAGATGGCCATGTAAAATTCGAGTCTGTGTTAAAGAACCTGGTTTGGCTTGGCTTGGTTGGTATTCAGGACCCTGTCAGACCGGGTGTGCCCGAAGCTGTCCGAAAGACTCAGAATGCCGGCGTCGTCGTGCGCATGGTTACTGGAGACAACGCTGTTACCGCTCAAGCTATCGCGACCGAGTGTGGTATCTATACCGATGGCATTATCATGGAGGGTCCTGATTTCAGGAAGCTGAGCGAGGAGGAGATGGATGCTATACTACCGAAGCTACAAGTACTTGCGCGCTCATCGCCTGAGGACAAGAGGATTTTGGTTGCAAGGCTCAAGGCTCTCGGAGAAACTGTAGCTGTTACCGGAGACGGTACCAATGACGCCCCAGCTCTTAAAACTGCCGATGTTGGTTTTTCCATGGGCATCTGTGGAACTGAGGTGGCTAAGGAGGCTTCGGAAATTGTACTAATGGACGACAACTTCGCTTCTATTCTAACTGCTCTCAAATGGGGACGAGCGGTTAACGACTCCGTTCAGAAGTTTCTTCAGGTGAGTTCCAGAAGAATATAACCTAGGTAGTCGAATAATCGTTTGATACTAACCTAACCTTTTCTTAGTTCCAAATTACTGTCAACATCACCGCCGTCCTCCTCGCCTTCGTATCCGCAGTTGCTGATCCTGAAATGCATTCTGTGCTCACTGCCGTGCAACTACTCTGGGTCAACCTTATCATGGACACCTTTGCAGCCCTCGCCCTGGCAACGGACCCTCCAACCGAAAAGATTCTCGACCGCAAGCCTCAACCGAAGAGCGCACCCCTCATTACAACCAACATGTGGAAAATGATTATCGGGCAGGCAATCTACCAACTCGTCGTCACGTTTATTCTATACTTCGCCGGCGCTTCCATTCTAGGTTACGATCCTAACAACCAAACCCAGAAGACGCAGCTTAACACCATGGTTTTCAACACATTTGTATGGATGCAAATTTTCAATGAGTTCAACAACCGACGCCTCGACAACAAGTTCAACATCTTCGAGGGCGTGCATCGCAACCAGTTCTTCATCGTCATCAATATCATTATGATTGGCGCTCAAATCGCCATCATCTTCGTCGGAGGCGCTGCATTCGAAATTACTGCCATCGACGGTACGCAATGGGCTATCTGCGTGATTGCCGCGGGCATCTCGCTCCCGTGGGCCATCCTTATCCGACTATTCCCAGACGAGTTGTTCGCCAGCATTGTCAAGATCGTGGGCGCACCTGTCGTCGTTGTATACGAGGCTTTTGCCAAGGTCTTTTCTAAGATCGGCTCTACCGTCGCTAGGATGTGGAAGCCGAAAAACAAGACATCAAATTCGGACGAGAAGCAAGTAGATGGCGCGACAGAGGAGAAAGAGGCAGCTCCCGAGATCGTGGTGTCGGAGGGTGTCTTCTCGAACACCGGCCCTGAGATACAAATAACCGGGGATTTAGAACAGGGAAGGAGATAAATATATATAGGATATATATACATACATATATTAGGTATATATGGGATTGGGTATTTTCTTTGTACATTAGATAGACTATATGACATTTAGCGAGTATTTGAATTTCATCGATGCATCTACGCGTCCGGTAGGATAGGTACACTTTGAATACAGGGATGGTTTCCGGAGAGATAGACGTGGTTAAGAAAACGATACTCTAAAAGATGAATGATAATTATACGATACAATACTCGGGCTGGTCCTGTGCGCATGGTATTTTAATCCTGTGAAGATTACGAGTTTTCATACTATCATTGGTTGGATGCAACCTGTTTATATGAGTGCCTAAGGTAGTGGGAGTAATTTGTCATCGATATCAAAATACGCAAGGAGCTTTCCTGTTTGCTAGCCTTGAGGCTAAAGCGCTGTCAACCTTTTTTGCGGAATCCGATGTCAGAGTACCTAGCGGCGAAAGAATAATACAGGCATGTGCCACAGTTTTTTCCAGATTCTATTCATTTTGCTTTCTACATAGGCAGGTCTTCTACGGGGCTTGTCGAAACGCTTTGCGAAAGTTACGTGATTGTCCAAACCGCGTTTTTAGTTGTAGCCTCGTAAAACCTACTACTATTAATTAAAGCTTTTGCTCGTCTACTCAACTGGTCAGTAATCAGGTATTACGCTTTTATGTTTATGCAATCTCGCTAGTCTTAAATATTATGGCGCGTATATTCTGATGTTTATTTAGCAGACAACTTGTAGCTTTAAGGTCGGTATATGCGTACTGTGTACATGAGGTACATCAGGTAGGTACTTAAGAAGAAAAGGTTTAGGTAGCCACCTGGCCAACAGCCCGAATCAGCAAGTGCTGCAGCATCCCTACCATTCAATATCTTATTTTTACTGAAAAAAAAAATCTGCATGTAAATCAATCAACTGATCTTGTTAGAATTGAATCAAGTTCATTCGCAAGCAAAATCTGGGGAACCCTGCTGGCCTAAGATGGATGCTATTTTGGGAAGGTGGGTCACATAATCAGCCAATCACAGTGTGATCACCCAAGATCAACAACTTCGCATCACATTAGGTAATCAAACCAACCTCCACAACCACCAGAGTCACTGAATATACACAGCCAGTTCGTTGCATCACGCAATCATAATCAATGAGTCACGGCTACACTCATATAATATCATCATGTGCAGCTTTTTGTATAACTAAATCATGTTTCTCAATGCAGAATCATATATAAATTTACGTATGTTCAAGTGTAAATGCATTTCCATCCCCCTTCGGTCAGCTAATTATTGAATCAAGCATAGCTTGATTTTTCATATTAAAAATAATACGAAATATTTACTGTAAGAAGTTTTCTTCAACAACGTATAACACATTCCATCAGTGTAGTACGGTTATGGAGTAAATTGATATGTAAAATCAGTTTTCATTCTCAACATTCTGTCCTTACCAATAAACCAGTATTCAAATTAAAAGCTTTAACACTGCTGTACGGATTTTAAAGTCAAATAAATGATGATAATCTTGATGGTTGATTTATGCAATGTTTGCTATCTAAGTAAATTTTATTTTACTATTAAAACTATGGCCACGTTTACGTGCGAGAAATAAATAAATGATAAACCTCTTCCGCATGATCAGCTGCCCAGGTGCTCGTGCGAAATAAATGGTAAAGTAAAGCATGTGGAAAGAGCCACCTTTCGTGGGTGATTCTCTTTTTTTTTTTCTACGTACCTTAGTACCTGAAGAACCTTTTTAGTGGAAGTTGCGCAGAAAACTTTTCATAGACTGCAGTTGTAACTTGCATGAGGCAGGCACGTTTAAAATTTCAACCTCGTAGTTTTCTTCTGACTTCCAAATCAACCCGTTGCCATGGTTTCGACTGACTGATCCGCAACGACCGCTGGAAACTTAGGCATCTATTTAATTCTGCAGACCTGCAACCTGAATTGACTTTTTTCCTCCTCTTCCTTTTTTTTCCTTCCACAAGTTTAAGTGCAACAACAATCGTCTTCGTCTTCGTCCTTGACATAACGTTACCATTTGTTACACTTTACAACTACGCATCGATTCATTGATTCATTCATCCTTTGACACTTCAATCCTTCGATTTACTTAGGTTAATTAATCAATTAATCGTTTTATCTTATTTATCGATTCATCAATCGACTTATCCTACCCTCCCTCCTGATCATTGACTCTCTCGACTCATTGATCCATCTATCATCCTTCCATCCATCTTACCCCCCCTTCCTTAGACTTCCTTTTTTTTATCCGTACATCGATCGACCAAGTCTTTCAAAATGTACGCCTTTACTATCCTCGTCCCCTTACTTCTAGCTCTTGACGCCATGTTCGCCGCCCCCTTTGCGGGAATCATCGGCCTTATCATGATCTTTTGTCTCTCCGGCTACGATAATAACGGCCCAATTGCCAATTCCGCCGCACTTATAGCGAATACTATCGTCGCGACCGGCGTGAAGTATGCCTTCGGAGGAGGGGTGCTCCGGGAAATCCACGGCCTCGTGCTCATGGGCGCGTGCAAGGATTCTTGGGGGCCCGAGTACCCCAGCGCAATAACCGTAGCGGTGACGATGATCATGCACAAGTTTCTCACTTGCGACGAATATATGTTTTATTTCGACTTTGTGATGATTGGCTGCTCTATAATCCTTCCTCTCCGTCAAATCGCGACACAGGTAATTTCCTTCCCATCCCTAATGCTTTCCCTAGGTAGATTCTGACTTGTTGTTGCAGGCTCTTATCACAGCTTTCGCCCTAGCCTGCCGCCTATATTCATACCTATATTGCCTCTTAGTCGGAATTCCACAAATTGTCGTGTTCCTTTACAACTCTCCTGTTACTCTTTGGCGTCAACTATGCCGAACCTTTAGAAAGCCTAAGATGGTCAACGCTAGCACGCAAACAGACCCTCAAATCCAACCTCAGCCGACACTTACCCTATCGGCGGTCATGACTGTCGCAGATATAGCTCCTATCTCGCCCCCTGAGCCACCTAAGCCTACAGTTTACTCTCACGAAGCTGTTACTGAAATCTTTCGAAAGGTCAAGCCGAGAATTACATTCCTTCGAAGATCTTCTATCCTAAGAGATGACGATACTACAACAGGTCTTGTAGACGAGATGGCGCCTGTTCCGGGTCAGACAATCTCTTCACGTGAATACCTCCGGAACCTATGGGCTGCAGCTAAGCAACCTTGTAAGCCTCAGCTGAGTAAGGAGACGCCCAAGACTGAGGAGCCTACCAGCGACCAACCTAGCACTCAACCGGATCCTGTTGAGCAGCCTTCCATTGAGCAGCCTGCTATTAACCAGCGTACTCTCGGTCAGTTTGCCGTTGAGCAATCTGTCGCCAATCCGCCTACCCCTGAAGAGTCGATCTGTGAGGAACCTATACCAGAGAAATCCATTACTCAGGTGCTCACCCCTGAGGGATCCATTACAGAGGAACCTATCCCCGACGAGTCTATTTTGAAGGGAACGTCTCGTGAGGAGGTGGTCGCAGAAGAGCCTACCGCAGAGGAAGCTATGTCGAAGGAAGCTAGCCAGAAAGCACCTATTGCTGATCAACTTGCTTCCGAAGAATCCATTTCCAATGAGTCTAGCATCGAAGATTCTACTCTGTTCGGGGAGCCTACTGCCGATGACTACACTCTTGATGAATCTGCCGGCAAGGAACCCACCACTAACCAACCTAAGTCAGAGGAAACTACCTCGGACGAAGTCAGCCAGGGAAAACCTGTTCCTAATGAGCTCGCTCCCGAAGAATCTATTTCTGACGAATCTAGCCTGGAGGATCCCACCCTCTTCGGAGAGCCTACTGCTGACGAGTATATTTTTAATGAGTCGACCTCCGAAGAATGTAATGCCGAACAACCTATCGTTGAGCAAAACATCCCGAACGAGCCTATTCCTGAAGCATCTGCCTCCGAAGAGCCCATTCCGGACACTTATGACTCTGAGGGTTCTCTCTTCGGTGAACCTACCGCTGACGAATATATTCTTGACGAGTCTACCTCCGAAGAACCTACCGCTAAGCCACCTATCCTAGAGGAGACTATCATGGAGGCGCCTATCCCTGAAGAACCTATTGCTGAGCAATCTATCGCTAAGCAGGGTATTGCTGAGGAAGCTATCCTAGAAATGCCTATTCAGCAAGAATCTGCCCCCGAAGAGCCCACGTTAGACGACTCTAGCTCTGAGGGTTCTCTCTTTGGTGACCCTGCCCCTGAGGAATACATCCTTGGGGTGCCTGCCGCCGAAGAGCCTGTCGCTGAAGGACCAGCCAAAGAGCAAGATGAGGATGAGCGTTTTACCTCTGGTCAGTACCCGGTTGAGCCGATCAGCGATGAGCAACCCGTTAAAGTCATTACCGAGGATACTCCCATGCAGGGAGCTAGCGCTGAGGAAACCCCCCCGGAGCGGCTCGTTGTTGAAACATCCGAGGGAATAAAAGCCATCGAAGATTTCATTTTTGAAAACCTTGGTGTCGGAGAGGTTGGAGACTATGGATACTTTGAACTCCCGGAAAATTGGGAGGAAGAAGGTAATAAAATTATCGATGAACTATGGGAAAGCGTGGCGCTCTCGGATTTTGCACAGCCGATTGAGGGCAGCCAGTTTAATGGCGAGCAGGCAGGAATCCAAGAGCCACATAGCGGTACCACGAGACAGACTACTGAGAAAGATGATCCTTTCGATGGCGGACAGCCCACTCAATCTCATTCTAGGCTAGAATTCAACTTCGGTAGTGAGCAGCTTCCTGGGCCCCAAGAACATGGCCCCAATTTTACCTTTAGGGCCGGGCAATCAATGCCCACAATAGACGAAGAGGAGCTTCCCGAGGCAGAAGAACCTGCCTCTATGTTCAACTTCAATTTTGAACGATTTACACCTACATCCTCCGACAATCAAAAGTCCACGGAAGCTGGACAGTCTGCCACCATCTTTACGTTCGGTGCCGGACAACCTGTTCAACCCGAACAGTCCACCGTTGCCTTTGCTCTTCCAGCAGAGACGTCAAGACAAGCTCCCCAGACAACGCCATCATTTAGCTTTGGCAGTGAGCAACCGACGGAGGCAGAGTGGTCTGCTCCCACCTTTACTTCCGGTGCTGAACAGCCGGCTTCCGTTTTCAATTTCAACGGTGGGCAGAGTCAAGCTGCCGAAGATCCCCCAGGCCAACAGAATCAGGAGGGCAATATCTGGGAGCCAACGGACGATGGGGATCCGGCTCCAATAGGCGAGGATGGAGTGTCGTGGCTCGATCTAGAACGGCAGCTTGAGCTCGAACTAGCAATGGAGGCAGAAAATGAAGGAGGGGCATATGAAGGGCCCGGTTGGGATAGGGAGTGAGGGCTTTCCTCACAAGGAGAGCGGTGGAGTTTAATTTACAGAGTGTGGTAGCGAGTGTCTGAGTTTTGTGATCAAGAATATTGACGCAATTAGCAGATGTGACGAGATCGAGACGAATGTCGAGGTTGCCGAAGCCAAGAAGAGGTTGAAGGAAGAGCGGCAAAAGGAGAAGAATGACAGCGACCGCCAAGCACTGATGAGATTAAAGAAGCGGCCTTTCAACTCGTTTATCACTCCGAAGAAGGCGAATAAATCGGCGGATATTCAGCAGGCTACTGCTAGGATTTTGGTAATACGAAGTTATTCCTAGCCCCGACCCCAACCCAACAGTTTTGCAGCTGCAAGCTTTCACTTCGTTCATTTGGCATAGTTCCCTTTTGTATCCCATGGCCGTCCTTCGCCGGATTGGCACGGGCCTTGCCTCGCAAGCAGGCTACTATGTATCATGCATTTATGGGATGCATTGCTAATCTTTGATTGGTGTTGATCTAAGGGAATATGCCATCTGGAGGTTGAGATCTTCACTCGGGACTTTGGGTTTGGTATAAGGTCTTTGTACTAACTTCCATTTGCTGGAAGACTAGAGCAGCCTGGCTGCTTGATGTCGGTTTTCTTACCTTCTAAGAGTGGTAAATCGGGAAGATTTGTTGTTCTCTTTATCTTAGCTTTGCTTGGACTAGCTATCGTCTTCGAGTTTCGCATCTCTCCCTTCCCCCCCCTTCTTGTCACTTCATGCACCCTCCTCTAGTCTTTATCTCATCACGTCTGCTAACTTGCTTCAATATATCTTCAAATATAAAAAAAAAAAAAAAAAAAAAAAAAAGATCCATATAATGGAATACCTATCAAACCACAAAGGACGCGAATATAATAGAAGCTACAGACGTTTCAATCAAAAGGGTCAACACTCTACTCTGAGAATACGGTCGAGAGGAAGCCTCACAGCAGAGGTCCAATATTTTTACTGGTAGCTTGGAGGTAGCAGTAGCTTTAAATGATCTATTTGTTAATAGACAGATAGCTACTACAATTGAGATGAATCAAACTCAGCTTGGTCTTAATGCCGTAGCCGAATACATCGTATCGTCCTATACTTAAGCTTCTAACATTCCCCTTGCCGGATACTCTATGAGTTTGGAGCCTATTGTTGCTGAAATTACTGGGGCATAGCTAGCGCTTAGTTAAGGAGTTGCCTGTCTAGGTACATTACTTAAACTGTTACTGTAATCTGTTGTTCTAGAAGGGACGGCTAATATTTAAGAGATTTTCATTAACGGGCATCCTATCGAGTGGCTTAACGCATTCACGCCGTCATCATATCTTATTAATTCGCCTATCAAACAGCCTTCCTAGTTTATCACCCTGATATCAGGGAGCGGCAGACTGCCTCCGTTGGGTTTCACTCACATGTCGATCGTGAAATCGAAAGACTGCAGCGTATTTATATAGGATTTCTTTTTATAATACCCGGCTATGGGCTGTCATGAATCCCCCTCGTCAACGAGGGAGGGTCATAACAACTAGAGATATCCACAGTACGAACTTTCCTCATAACCTTGGGTACCTGGTATTCCTTTGATTCCTTATACCTTAGGTATGTATGTATGTATGTAGTAACCGCATAACGAACCGTAACGTCGTTCCATCGTTTCTTCAGTTTCCGGGATCGGGATCCGGACCCGAATCTGGTAGAAATGGGAAACCTCCAAAAGCCCATTCACCAATACCGACCAGTACGCCGCTGCTCAATACATAGGTAGGTACCTATCCCAGACCCCCCCATGCTTACCTAAGGAAAGCGAAAAAGGAAAAGAAAAGATCCTAACCATTTGCTGTAACTAGGTACCCGCCTAGGTAGTACTTGAATCATTCTATGAGACTCTACCAGGCCTGCCCGTGATGCCCATGATGCCCGTGGTGGCCATGGTGGCCGTGACCTTGATGTCCCTGGTGTCCGCCGTACGAAGACCCTCCTCCATGATGCGACGACCCGTGAGATCCGTGATGTCCGTGATGTCCGTGATGCCCCTGCTGTCCGTGATGCCCCTGCTGTCCATACGCCTGACCGCTCCCATGACCCGAATTCCTCTTCTCGAGCTTGTTCTCGATGATATTCGCCGCCACCGCGCCGACGGCGCTGCCCAGCATGGTGCCCAGCTTGCCCTTGCCGAGCTTGTGCCCGAGGAACCCGCCGGCCCCGCCCCCCAGCAGCGTCGCGCCTAGGCCGCGCTCGCCGTCCTCGCCCGGTTGGTTGTTGTAGTAATTCGGGTCTCGGTCGTTTCGGGCGGCGTAGGGATCCGCCGAGTGAGGACGCGACGATGATGTGCCGCCGTTGTTCGGGGGGTAGTAGCCCGCGTCCGAATGGGCGGAGCCGGGACGCGAGTGCTGGGTCTGTGGTGGGTAGGGAGTAAGGTAACCACCACCAAACCCCCCTTGCTGAGATGGGGCTGAGGACTGGGCGGCGTAGGTGGGCTGAGCGGGGTAAGGCGCGTAGCTTGGTTGGGAAGGGGGGTATGGGGAATGCGAGGGGGACGTCTGGGCGTATTGAGGTTGTGGGGGATAAGGTGATGAGTGTTGAGGTGGGCGATAACCACCTCCACTGCTGTTACCGTAGTAATCTGCCGCTGACATGTTGAATTGATAGTGATTTTCTTTTCTTTTTCTTTCCGTTTCTTTGTAAAGATTTGTATAACTTAGGTGGGATCCGAGCTGAAGTGAAGTGAAGTGAAATCAAGTCCGTAGGAGTTACGAATGCGGCGTAAAATGTAAATAATTCGTAGTCTAAGTTAATTTAGTTACTGAAAGAGTATTACTTATGTAGAGAAAAGGGGAAAAGGAAAGAAAAAGTTTACAATAAAAAATAGAGAAAGGTGAATAAATCTTATTTATACCTAATGTAAGCAGACTTCAACAGACAGGATTCGTCATGCGCAGTATTCATTATGTATGCACATTCCAATACGCGACTGATTAGGGAGGCGCAGTCATTTCGCAGTTTGCATTCAATGTTGTATTGATGTATGTACCAACTAAACCGCTAGGCTTTGAGTTAGCGACAATAGTGAAGTGGCTTGGCAGAGGCTCAGAGCCATTCGCAATACATGGTATGTACATATAATACATAGTACATCCCGAGGCTTTCCTTGTCTGGTACAATTTGAATGAGGCTGATTTTCAAGGTTTCGGAGCTGTCGGCTATCCCCCCCCTTTTCCCCTTTTCAGGCACCCCCCTTGTAAGACTGTAAGACATATAGCATCTGCAGATTTTTAAAAAAGGGCTGACAGGCGGGATGAACACGTGGGGAGAGCCTTGTTAAGTTTCTTATGAATCCTCAAGGTCACATAGGTTAAATTCTTGTTAATTCGACAACGTTTCTTAGAACGTAACCACCCTTCGGTCATACAAATATCATCCCAGAACCCTTAGGTACCTACCTATTATACACAGCCGTCTCATCGACATAGGTAATAGGTACGCCCTCCACGTGTACGCCTTCCATATACCGTAGATATACTAACCTAGTACCCCAAAAAGCCCATCAGGGGTAAAACATGACTCGTTCCCTATGTCATAACCAACCCCTAAAAGACCAGGTACGTATACAACAACTACTAGTAGAGAGCATTTTGATTTGATTGTGAATGATTCGACACATGCATTCAATCGCTCGAAAGATAACCCTACTTAAACAAGAGAGGCTACGCTTCAACAAACCCCATCATCCGCTCCCAGCATATACATCCAAACGAGATCTGCCTCAGGTCATCATGCTCATAAATCTCCCGTAAATGCGGCCCGTTGCTCCTGAAACCCTCAATGTCATCTCATAAAAAGCCCCAGTAGCTTAATGCATCATGGTCGTAAATGCGACTTGGAGAAAAAAAAATTACATCCTTTTTTTCGACAGTGTGAAAAAAACATGTATATACTCGAGACAACTGATAAAAAATGGCAAACTCAGTCGCCTAGTACGCCATATAGCGACTCCCTTGAAAAGGAATATGCATTAAACTCCGACCACAGAACCACTCACCCTTCTGTTCTGAGGAATGTGGATCTCACCATCCGAGTCGGAGCTGTCTTCTGCGGCTACCCGGTCGAGCATCCGTTCTATATCGTCACCCCGAAGAGCCGTTCTCGGCCGGGACGGTCCACTCAAGCCAGCAGGGATAGACAGAGACGGCCGCGGAGCCGAACCGTTCGTGCGACGGCGAGGGGTACCTCTGCTCCGTGGAGATACATGAGGATCGTCAATATCCATCCCGCCGTAACCGCCCGGTGACTTCTCAAACCCTACCCGTTTAACCTGAGGCACGTGATTATGTTGCGGCCGCGCCGTCGGTAAACTCTTGCGTCCATGGCTGCTGACTTCGGCTCCCGCACTTAATCGTGAGGTAGGAAGTGCAGTTCTTCCTCCGTTGCGTGTTTGCGGCGGATGTAATGGTTGCATTGATTGCGAGCCTTGTGATGAGGGGAGAGATGAGGGGAATGCGTGTTTTACGTTTGCTGAATTTCCAGGGCTACTCATAAACATCAGCGTCTCCAACGCCTCCTGCTCCCGGACGTTCTGGTGAGGAGAAAAGAGGACGGGATCAACATTGGGTGTTCTAATATTCCCATGGCCCGGCGTAGCTTGCAATGGACTCGGCTGAGCCGGACTGTGAGGAGAAAGGTGATGAGGATGTGATAGGTAAGCTGGAGTAAATCTTGCGTTGGAACTGCGACGAGGATGAACCTGAGCGGGCTGTCGCGGTTGTATAGGAGCAGGCGGGGCCAAAGCAGGCACTTGGATATTGGGTGACGTCGAAGGAGGTGACTTCATCATGTTGCTCTCCCTCCATGACGGATCATATGGGCGAACTTGGGTTGCATGTTGCGTTGTAGGACTAGTAACCATGCTTGACGCCCTGTGTCTCGTAGGTGCAACCGTGACTCGAGGGCTTGCCGAAGTCCCATACCTACCGTGTAAGGTAGATGTGCTCGAGGTAGGAGAAGCAACTTGAGACGCAAGCGACTCGACCTCGTCAATTGAATGCCCTTGCCAACCGTTGTTAACCTTGACCATAGCATAAGACAATTTGGTCTTCAGTTCAGCCGACAGCTACGATGAGTTAGCAGACATCTCGATAATGAATTATTGGACATTGGCGGAATTACCTCTCCGATGCGACTAGAGGTAGAAGTTAAGCTCACGGTGCTAGTATTTCTGGAATGGCCGTGACGAACCGGCGACACACTTGAGCTAGTTCTCGTGTTTTTGACCACGCCGTCGGCCATTCGCTTTTTTGATTGAGCACTAGCCGTGGCGGCCCCATCTACCTCGCTCATCCTCTGCTGTGCTGCGGCAAGCTGAGAGAGCTGTAGAAGCTGAGACTCTTGACTCGAGTCGTGCATTTTTCTTCCTATCCTATTGCTACCCTCGCTATCGCTCTCGGGTGGGGTGAAGACGCGATCTGTATCATTGGAGGCGGTAGTGTCTTGGGAATCGTTACTTGAGTAATTGAGCGGTTGACTTTGGGAACTTGGTATAGTTTGAGATTGCGAGGAATGGTCGAGGTCCGTTAAAGGGCCTGGGGGATTAACCGGAGACATGATCCAGTATGATGATGGTTAGCTGGGGTTAGATATAATGTAGATACAGATATAGTGTGAGTGGAAGCTCCGCGGTTAGAGATACGAGGTTATCGCGTCTTGATAGATGGGATATAGACGCAATTCAGCCGATTAGAAGCTATCAATCGCGTTTTTACATAGAGCAATGTCTTCAAACTAGCTTGCTTGGAGCGTAGATGTTGTGGAGGAACGGTAAGATTTCCTTTGTGGGCGCTGATGTTGCTTAGCGAGCTGTACGCGTTATGTTGGCGGATAGAGAGTCGCGATATCGCAGAAGCATAGGAATAAGACAAGCAAGACAAGTATAAAGCTTGAATTAGTATAGTCGCGTTGAACCAATGAGACACTTGGTTAGGTAGTTAGCTCAGCATTCGAACAAGATCCGAGACTGAGACATGGGATATAAATATAAATATAAGTATAAGTAAGGTAAGTATATGTATAGGTCAAGCGAGGATTGCGAAATAAGTGCGACCACAATGAAATCAATAATAAGTTAAAAAAAAAAAAGAAAAGAAAAGAAGAAGCTCGGATTGAAATCGAGCTTAGAGTAGACGCGACGCGAGTTGACGGCGGGAAGGTAACAGTTTAATTAGGTCTAGGTAGTCAAGTTAAAAACACCCCTCCCCATGGGTATGATGTTGATATGGTGAAAGGTTGGAAGGTTGGAAGGTTGGGTTGAGGTTGAGGTTGAGGTTGACGTCGAAGTTGACATTTGACATTGGACTTGCTTGGATCCCAAGAGAAATACATAAGGTAAGGAACAAGTCAAACCTCAGGCGAAGTATCCAAAAAGTACCATCGAATGGGTTCTAAATATTGTAGGAGGGGAAGAAATGACGGGAGGTCATTGGCCGTTTATTACGCGGTCAAGTCGCGCGACTGCACCTATTTTTTTTCTTGCTGGGGGGTTCCTGGGTACACCCAAGGTGCATCTCCAGGGCTTTGTCGGGGGATCATGTGCGCTAAGATTTCCCATTAGCGTACCTAAGTGTTCTATAGATTTACACTTGGCCCTAGCGTCTCGCAGCCATTAATAACCGCTTAGATTAAGAGATTAGGTTAGGTTAGGTACCTAGATACACACTGGATCTAAGGTCTAGGTACCTTGTACGGATCCGTAAGCAGATCTTTTTTTTCTCATACACAAACGTACTATGTACGTACACGCTGTCCCTGCAGCAAATTCTATGGAGCCAAACTCTTTTTTCTCTTCAAATTCAGGACTTCGTGAAGACTTGAATAGTTTCAAGAAAAATGCAGAAGTTTTTTTTTTTTTCTTTTTTTACAAAAAAAAATACCAATTGGTGCAAGTTATTCTGCTGCCTCGAAAGCATCCATAATAATTAACCAGCTAGGTCAAGTAGCAAAGGAAAAAAAAAAAGTAATTAAAAGATCTACTCATCCCCTGTCGAAAACTCGAAAACCACAGCAGCAGCAGTAAAGCGGGAAAGTCGAAAAAGCAAAATTCGAAAAATGGCGCGCTTCTTTACCCTAGATTACCCTAGCCTCTCTAGGTTTTACCGACCGGGCCTGGCTCGGTCTCACGCAGCACGGATCGCAAAAAGGACCCGAGCCAATTTAACACGAAATCACGTGGAGCCATATCGCGAATTCACGATCTTCCCCTCTTCCCCTCCTCCCCCCTTTCCGGCCCCCACACCCTTTTTTTTCCTTAAACCCATCCCACACATATATACTATTATTTGTACGTCACTTAAGTAAGTAATTAAGTACTTAAAGTACTAATATTTTAGTATTTTAAAAAGGGTTTTTTAAATTATATATATATTATATATATATAATTTAAAAAATTAAAATGTTTTATATTATAAATAAAAAATATTATATTTATATTTTTAAATATTAAATTAATTTAAATTATTTATTTAATAAAATGTATTAATTATATTAAATTATATACTTATTATATTTATAATTTAAAATAATTAAATCGTTTAAAAATTTTAAATTATTTATATAATTTATAAATATATGTTACGAACCAACATCAAACGCAAGAAGGGAATAGCTTAAGATGCTTGAAAGCGGGGTTCCAGATACACGAGGTATTGGGAAAACCTCGGAAGGCATCGTCAACATTGTTGGATCTGATGGCTCTGTTAGATCAACCAGATCCACGAAGGCCATACGAAGCACACACGAATAAGGGAGCCTACGGGTATATTTAAACCATCATGTATCTAGTCATTCATTTAAGTTTCCTTAACTATCAATCTAAGTCTTATATCTAACCCATATAAGGGGAAGGACTCCAAGCCTTCGTAACGAACACTTCAACGTTTTATTGACACTTGACCCGTATCGTTACTGTTTACCTGAAAATCAAGACCATTGCCATTACACTTTAACGGACCTAAGTGTAAGTTCGTTACAATATATATAAAAAAAATATTATATTATAAATTATAAATAATTTTACATTTATTATTATTATTATTATTATTATTATTATTATTATTATTATTATTATTATTATTATTATTATTATTATTATTATTATTATTATTATATAATTTAAAAAACTTTTTTTAAAATATTAAAATATAATTAATATATAAATTAAAAATGAAACACTTTATTTAAATTCTTTTTATTATACCTAGTTAATATAGTTATTATTAAAAGCTTTAAGCAAAAAAAGAATATTTAAAAGTTAGAACAAGTAACTCCATTTCTTTATATAATGTTATTATACACGAAGCAATTAAAGGACCTTATGCAATTCCCCACTTAGGCTTGAGAGCGTCTGCATGGGGCATACGTACCTCGGTACATATCTGCGTATGAGACATTTCTTTTGATAGGGACTTAATTTCTAATACTCCGAGTGACTACTGTTTCCTCTCTCTTCGGTATAGGTATTGTATATAATCCTATATAGCTCCAGTATAAGAATGAATACCTTAGGTCGCCAATTAGGAATGACGAAGAGAAATATTGAGTCTTTGGTTACCTGAATCATAACACAATACCTGGATCATAACCTGTGTTGGCATAACTGATGATGTCACTTCACATCATACGGAAGCGATGGTTAGGTAATTCTATGGACTAGGTGGGTGCTATATACCTAAGTTGGAATCTGGATAAGTTGGATAAGTACGAAGTACTTAGGTACCTAATCTGACTATAATATTAGGTATGCTCATACTATTATATCAGAGACTTATCCTCTTATAAATCAGAGCCTCTTCAAAGTATTCAGCTTCCCAGGCATGCAAGCAACCCGAAACGCACATGTCATAAATATCCTACTTTTTTTAGGGAGAGAATTGACCAATTGGAAATATCTAAAATTTCACAACACTTTAAGTAGCTGCTCGTTACTTTCGCGAATCAACGCAATCATCAAATCCTCATAGTCTCCACCCAGTATGGCTCTGAAAGCAGCACGCAACGAGGTCCTGGCCGCAGAGTATCTCTGGTACGCGGCTTTGGCTGCTTCTTGACGTGGTCGGTCCCAGTACAGGCTGACGACCCTATTGATCAACAATCGGTCCTTGCGCGGCGTTCTATATAAAGGCTTCTCTAGCCGTCTAGCGTCGAAGCGTGCTCGGTCGACGGCATTTTCCAACACGTAGAGCAGCGCGTCCTCCATATCGCCACGGAACTCTTTTTCGATTACTTCCTCGAGCGAGCGGTGATACTTCCGCTGGTACGCCTCACAGAGGGCGTGGAGCTGCGCGGCGTTACAATTCGTGAAGATCTGTGCCACAGCAATGGCATTGGCGCCGATTGTGCCTTCTGTGGCCCGCTGTAGCTCTGTCAATTTGTGGTCGATCTCCGCAGCGATTACGGGTGCCGCGTCTTCGGCACGTGTGGCAGATAGCACCATGCTATAGAGACGGAATAACGTGTCATCCACGTCGTCTTTGATATCTACTAGGAGCTCATTGCCCTTGATTCGCTTGTACTCGGCGCTGATTGCGCGAATATCTGCGTTCGACCGGCACAGAATAACATCCATGAGAGCATCTTCGTCCGTACCGGCCCGATCAAGAGCCTTGATTAGAACTCGCGCATCTTGCTCAAGCGGTCCTCGTATTAAAGCAAGGAGAGCAGTTTCCACGCTCCCACGTGTCTCGCTCTCGATATCCTTGGCTAAGTCACGAATGAAGCGCTTGTTATAATCACCTACGAGCTGGGCTATCGCCCAAGGATTTTCATACTTGGGCGAGGTGAGTATGCGTATCAGGACTGACTCATTACATCCCATAGGTAGGTACCTAACGTAACATATTGTACAATACGAGCATACCTAGTAGGTACCTTAGAGTTACCCTTAATTTTGATAAGACTTATGAAACTTTCTTTGCTCTTCCACTTCAAACTGAACTCTTATACCTATGTCTTATAACTTATAAGTATACCTACCTACCTAACCTAAGTAACCTTAACTTTAACAAGGCTCAACAACTAACACAGTCTTATGATTCTAATATTATTTTATTATTACTTTAGGAAGTCGCAGCAACTTTCTGGTTCTAGCTAGTTAATTGATATGATGAATAGCAACACTACCCTAGACCACAATCAGCTGGTTTTCTCCCTATGTGGTAACAGTCTTTGTCTTGGCAGATGTGAGAATCGTGCTGTAGCCTTAGAAGAATTTTTCAATCTCCAACTCTATTGGATGAGGAAATGTGGCTGAATGATATCAAGGTGGCACAATAAGAAGCAGTAAGATTTCGAATCTTCCTGGAGGCCTCTTGCCATATTAAACCTTTGGAGGTCAGTGGTAATGTAAAACTAACCTAGGTAGGTAGGTATTTCAGCCTGTCCAATTGCTTTGAGAACATATGAGAGGATAAATATCTATCTCGTTCCCCTTTCATCTACTACTCCTCGTTGTCCCAAGACATATTTCTAAGACCCCGAGGAATACCATACCCCGCCAGAAAAGTAAAATACCTACGTAATATTTGTTACCTATCAAAATTATGAATCCTCCAAATCAGCAATATTACAATCAATATCCCCCTTCTGGTGGACCTCCTCCAGGCCAGCCGAAACAGCCTCAAGCAGGATATCAGCAGCCTCCGCCGGGAACTTCATATTACCCTCCTGCCGGTCCCGCCGGGTCGGCTGCTCCTGGACAGCCCCATTACCAGCAGCAGCCCTATTCTGCTTATAACGCCCCTCAGGGTCCCCCTCAAGGTCCGCCTCAGGCTAACCAATATCAATGCCAACCACAGCAGTATCCGCCGGGCCCGCCTCAGGCCCCGGGACAATACCCGTTTCAGCCGGGACAGTATCAAAGTCAGCCTTACCCGCCTCAGCAACCGCAACAGGGGCAATACGGACAACAACCAGTTACAAATGGACAATGGGCTCCCGGTCCCCAGCAAAGTCCTCCTCCCAATGCATATGCATATTCACAAGCGCCGGCCCCTTATCCTTCGCAACCACAACAATACGGAGGCCCTGTAAGTATAAGGTTGGATCTTCATCAAGCTATTATAAGTCACTAACATTTATATAGCCGGGCGCTCCGCAATGGCCGCAACCTCAGCATCCCGCATCAGGTTATGGCTACGGCGTACCACCGACCCCTGCGTCACCTGGTTATGACCCAGCTCAGAGAGCATTCATAGGCCCCGTTAATACGTCCTCTGACGTTGAAACTCTTCAGGTAGGTACCATAGCGGCAGAGGCGGGTTTTGTAGAATGGTTCTATCCGTAGAATGGTTGGGTGGGGTAGAACGTTTGTTAGTTTTGAGGCCTCTGATTGGCTGGATTTTAGAGTTTTTGAAGGTACATCCTTTTTGTACCTTTTTTTTTTTCAAAAAAAGACCGTTCTAAAAGCTTAAAACCGTTCTATTGGTTGGTATAGTTCTAAAAGTGGACTAGTTCTATGCGGCTAAAACCATTCTAGTTAAGTGGGGTAAACTCGGCTAAAGATCGGGCGCGTGAAGTTTATATAAGGTACCTAGGTAGGTATGGCTAGCACATGCCCCAGTATGATGCAGGTACCTTCTGACGCACATATAAAATATGGTGGGTTGGTGGGTATCCACCACTTAACGCGCCTGCACGCTTACGCGATCCAAGTTACTTCGTAACGAATTGAAACGAATTGAAAGTCGATAAGATAAATAACCCAAGATAAACATGCCCAAGAAATAAGAAATAAGAAAGAAGATAACCAATTCTACTTATTCTCCCATTCTCCCTTTGACAAGATAAAACGATTCACGTCAATGGCATTCCCCGATTCTTAGATTTCAATGGAATAATAAATAATACTACACACAAGCTTCAAGATTTCGCCAATGGGCTTATATATAGCCATCTCTGACTCTCCGAGTCGCCATGGACGAATTTTCCGACGATGATTTCGACACCCTCAATCCGAACGTCCTACAAGAACTCGAAAATAATGCGATTCAATTCACCCAAGCCCAGAAGAAATACCAAGAGTCCCAATCTCAGACCCAATTCGTTGACGATTTCGAAGATGATGATCTCGATGATGCCGTCGTACAGGACGAGCTACGCGGAAATCCCATCCTCCCAGAAGAAACGACCGAACTACCGTCGAGGATAGTTCCTCAACAGCAATACCAGCAACAATATCAGCAACAATGGGGTGGTCCAGTACCCGTCCCAGCTAGTCGCTTTCGTCCCGAGACTGCCCAAGCGCCCTCTCGAAATCCACTACCAGCTCCTACCAGCTCCCGCCAACCCCAGCAGCAACAGTCTATTTCTCGTGCTCCACCTCCATCTTATAGTCAAATCCGCCCACCGCCTCCTTTGCCTCGACCAACCCCTTCTATCCCTCAGAGGTACCAAGCCTCGCAAGCTCAAAGACCGAATATCCCATCGAATCACGAAATTTCCGCCTTACAGGCTCAGATATTAGATCTAAAAACACGGCTTACAACCAAAGATGGAGAGATAGGCATTGTCCGGAAACGACTGGAGAAAACACGAGAGGATTACGAACGAGAGCTTCAAACAATCAAAAAACAGGCAGCGGAGCAGGTAGCAAAGCATGAGAAGGCTCTCGAAGCTGCCAAGGCAGCACAACAAGCCGCTTCTACGGAGCTCGAATTTACAAGACGAGATCTCAAAGGCGAACTAGATCGCGCTAAGCGGAAAGATGGACCAGCGACGCCTAAGAAGAATACTATAGCCAAGTCGAGGGGTATTGCTGACGGGTTCGAAGATGTCGAGATGGCTGGTAGCCCTAGCAAGGGACGGCGTGGTAGAAATACCGGCGCTGTAGCAGGCGCTATGGTCGAGCCTCCTGCGAGACTGGCGAGAACACCAACAAAAGGAAAAAGGAAAAGACTAGCTGCCGATAGTCCTATCGGAGCGCTAGAAACGCACTCGGAAGATGCTGTTATGTTGGATGATACTAACGCAAACGATACCAATAATACCCAAGTCATAACCGTAAATAGAACGCCCAAGGCCGCTTCATTCGATGTATGTTACCTCCGCAACTACCTGGGTAACCAATATATGATCTCTATCAAATACTAACAACTACCAGTATATGAAGGTGATACTTAGTCACAGTTATACCCGCGGCGGTCCACTAGCTTTCGAGTCCCTTGCTAATTATCGGCTTCCGTCGAGGCCTACAGAAAGCCTTGCTTCTATCCTCTTCCAGAAATTGGCGGTTATCGGAGATCCTCAGGATCCTATGCGCCTCCCGACTGAGTTCTGCGAGCAGGTTATTGAACTGTGGCGAAGCTGTCATAAAGAGGGCATTGTGAGTGTCCTGATTTCTTCCGATGGGAATATAATAGAATGCACTGGTTGACCACCTTTACAGCTGGAGCCCATAATGCAGCTTGTGTCGTTGATATATCTAACCGTGCAACTATACACTGTAGCTGTTGCTCCGTATATCGCACCCTCCCTTCTTCCAGTTGCTATGGACTCGTGTTTTGAGGTAGGGATCCCTAGATTTTATCACGAGGGTCCCGGTGATCCACTCGAAGAGGCATGGAAAAATTTTAACAGGAATATTTCGACCACAGAGATCCTTTCTTTGTTATATCTGACCGCTTTAGGCTGCGCGGCTTCGCCGCCCGTCGACGGTATTACGGACCCCGCAGTCGATTTTTGGAGTCAGGTGCAAGTGGAATTCGTCCTCTTACATCTAAGTCAAAAGCATCCCGTAGAGGACTACCTTACCATACTGAGATGGTTGTGCACATCGGTGTTCCCGGACAGCATCGGACCTATCAGCCCTGATAGGACAGTAGAAGTCGTGGCAGGCGCGTTGATCGAGCGCATTTCGCATCAGCTCGTGGAGAAACCGCGTTGGAAAATCGACCAGTACAAGCAACGAGTCGTTAGGAACGCAGTGCTTCGAACGCTAGCCGCCTTCGCGAGGTCTCCGTTCGGACTGGCGCAGTTGGCCATCAACGACTACGCTATACCACGCCTAGTCACCTTGCTCTCTTCGTGTATAGACGAGCTGTACGATGGAGATATGCGTTATGAATCTTCGGACGACGACTCGCAAAAGGAATTGCAGACAATGGTGGCACGCACCGTGTTGCTACTACACACGATTATTACAAATCCCCTAACTGCAGATTTGGTGAACGTGTCGGGGAAACTAGCTAAGCCACCAGGCGTATCGCAGAAGTATCTACTCAGCTTAGGACGACTCAACTTTTCAGAAGATTTGGTATCAGAGGAAACGGCAGAGCTTGCGCACGAGCTATTGGAACTAGCAGTAACACCAGAAGAAGGTGAAGAGCTAGGTCGGTTCTTTGGGGGGTGAGGATTCTGGTCGCGCCTTTGAGGAATGCTAGCCACTTAGCCTATGAACGTACCAGGACCGTGTCATCAATGCGGCTCATTCTACTGTTTTAAGACACTAATTCGGGTGCTCCTGGTTCGAAATATGTTTGGAAGGCCCAAAAACGTGTTGGGTATCGATTATCAAGGATATAGGATGCCGGTGTAGAAGCCCTGCCCGACTTACTTGTTCAAAGATGTCTTATTTGGCACTAATGTCTGGAAGCACATACTAGGTAACTAACCGTCAGCGATGGTTTAATATTATCTGGCAATATATCAATATATCAATATATCCTGGCAAAAGTGCGTACCCGAAGATAATGATGGCTACGATGGACTTGGAGATAAATTAATATAACTGGTCGAATAGTAGAGTAGATGTATACACAATCTGCAGCTTTGGACATAACAAGATGATAATTGAGGTTCTCTTACAAAAACTTCAATGTGGATTTGCGGCTAAGAGGTGTGGTGAATAAAAGAGTTGTCGGCAGAGTGGAAGTTTATGGCTCGCATATGCATTCAACAAGTTTTGGTACCTAAAGAGAGGTATCCAATGACATATTGGCATGTGAAGTCGATAATAAAGTTGGACTGAAGTCTGAAGGGTCCAGGATGACGACAACTTCGGGTTTAAGAGTGGGTCATCTTTTGCAAACAGCGAATGTGCCACACTCAGAATGCACTATACACGTCTTACATCTTAATTATCTGAGCCACGCTTTGACGTAGCCAAGCATGCCTAGCGGCCTAGGTATAACAAGCACATACCTGGCAAGTACAATAGGTACAAGGTATGAGCAAAGCACTTGCCCCAGCTACCAGATAAGCCAAGGTTAACAGACTAGGCAAATCTAGTGCGTACCTAAAGGTATCTGGTGCATGCTAAGGCTCAGCCCGTTCATTGAAAAAACCGCGGCCCCAATCAAGAAAAATCACGAAAAAAAAAAAAAAAAAAAAGAAGAGTGGACTTTGCTGTCGCTCAACAAGACGGATTCTCGGGATTTAATAGAGACCGCAGCGACGAGAATCAACATTAAGGAGAGAAGAGGATTTTTTTTTAAAAAAAAAAAATCAGCTCTCTTCATAATTAACTTGACTGTTATTCTAATCATTTCTCATTTCTCATTTCTCATTTTTCTTTTTTCTTTTTTCTTTTTTCTTTTTTTTTTCTACGACGACACAAGTCTCGAGATATTTGAAGTAACAAACCAAATCTTGTTGAACTCTTCTCAAGTTTCCACCAGCCGACGATCCGATTATCCACCCCCCACTCCTCAACCCTTAACGCCTCGTCCTTTGTTCTACCAAAGCTGTTGTTACAAGGTTATTAGATCGGAAATTTTCTGTACTCTCTATTTGTGTGGCATCACCTTCTTCAGCTCAAGAGCCTCAACCTACCGATCTTATAGCTCGATCAACGAAGCCTTCCGTCAGCTCGGCCGAATAATACTCGCTTACTTGTTGTCGCGATCGCAAAAACGAGATCATTACAAGCTATTAATAATCGGCGCCGATTCTTGTCTCGTTCACTTCTACGTACAAACGTACATAACGTCTAGTTTATAGCCACCATGACGAAACCCCGTCGTGGTGTTCGCTTCCCCAGCCGAGGTGTCAATGGCCACGTCTCCTCCGACGGCAGAAGGTCAAGCTTCAGCGAAATAAGCGAGGATGGATCAGGTTCGCCTGTCAAAACTAAAAGCTCGCCGCATCTAGATGATATCAACGAAGTATGTTATTATTGGCAAGACCCTTTTTACACCTCGAGAGCTAACATGTATTTATCATCGTCTACAGAAAGCGCCTGGGCAGTCTGACTACGAAAAGAAAAAGGCCAATTTCCTCACGCGAACCTTCTGGACATTCGTCATGATAGGGGGCTTCTTCGCAGCTCTCTTCTCGGGCCATATCTATATTATCGCCTGCATTACTGCTGTACAGATCGTCTCTTTCAAGGAAGTGATTGCGATTGCTAGTGTCCCCAGTCGAGCTCGACAGCTACGTCCTACCAAGAGTTTGAATTGGTATTGGCTTGCTACTACCATGTATTTCCTCTACGGAGAAACTGTCATCTACTACTTCAAGCATATCGTATTAGTCGACAGGGTTTTGCTCCCCCTAGCTACGCATCATCGCTTCATCAGCTTCGTCTTATATGTCATCGGTTTCGTCTTCTTCGTCGCCAACCTCAAGGCTGGCCATCTGAAGTTTCAGTTTACTAATTTTGCTTGGACGCACATGGCGCTATACTTGATCGTCGTGCAGGCCCATTTCGTCATGAATAACGTCTTCGAGGGCATGATCTGGTTCTTCTTACCCGCGGCTCTCGTCATCACTAACGATATATTTGCCTACATCTGCGGTATCACTTTTGGTCGGACGCAGCTGATAAAGCTTTCTCCTAAGAAAACGGTGGAGGGCTTTATTGGCGCCTGGATCATGACCATCGTCTGGGCTGTTTTCTTGACGAATATACTGATGCGCTCCAAGTACTTTATCTGCCCCGTCAACGACCTCGGAGCCACTGTCTTCACCGGTCTCGAGTGTGATCCGAACCCTGTGTTTCTTCCGCACACGTACACGTTGCCCAATCTATACTTCCTTCCGGAAGGAACTAACTTTTCTTTCACTACCGAGCCCATGCAATTCCATGCTATCCTCTTGGCGACTTTTGCGTCCTTGATCGCACCTTTTGGCGGATTTTTTGCTTCGGGACTCAAGCGTACTTTCAAGATCAAGGACTTTGGCGACTCTATCCCCGGTCACGGTGGCATGACCGACAGGATGGACTGTCAGTTTATTATGGGGTTTTTCGCTTTCATCTACTACCAAACTTTTATCGCACAGCACAAAGTCAACGTTGGAAACGTCATGGAGTTGGCCATTACTGGATTGGGGCCGGAGGAGCAGATAGAATTGATTAAGGGGGTGAGCAGATATCTTGTAAACCAAGGAGTTTGGGGTCCTGAAGTGAGTATTTGCCTATCCCCAACCTCTTGAGACGAGCTATTCGCTAATCAAGTATTCTCAGGTTCATGAATGTTTGGATCAGGCGCTGCCAGTTCGGAGATAGGGACGGGTTGGATTTGCGCTCTGGTGAGCAACAGGGTATAATTAAACCAGGACGGCGTACACAAGTGCATAGCTGCTTGACAGGGTAAGTAGCTTCTTAATGAATTAATGAAGATTCTCCCCCGATTTGGTCTTCTTGTTGCATACGTGGTACCTACCTAGGTAATCAATGGGGGAAATGATGCTGTGATTTATTAAAATTTAAGAAAAAAGGAGTATAAAGTAGGGTTAGCCAAAAACCTGGCCAGTGTGTTGTTATATGGATTCGGTAGATGTTGATCATATTGGAGAATATGCCCGTGCTCTACCCGTCTTTGGTGCCGAACCCAATATCCGTTCCAAGGGATGAATGAGCCCAATTGTTAGTCAATATCCCAGGTTAGTATACCGAATTGCCACTTCATCGCAGCTTGTTTGACAAAAGAGGGACCATCCTAACCAGTACTTGAATATAAAATCCATAGGCCTAGTAGCTTGGGACGAATAGAGGCAGGTTTACATAAAGTTGAACGTACCGTATATCTGGTATAGGGTCGACCCGGAGATAGGCAGGCAAGGGAGGAGGAAATAATACAACATCATCGGTTGTGGACCTAGGTAGTGTTACGCCGGAAAGCGCCCGCGTCCCGTTCATCTAGATAGCGGAGTTCAACAAAGATGCCTCGCCATGTTTGACGAGATCCATATTATACCAGCCATCATGCGAGGCATAATGTTTACCTGAGTCTACTGGTCGGGATATACACGACCGAGGAACACAGCGTCGTCGCCTGTTGGCGCTATTGATGTTTGCCTGCCTCCCTTACCTACCTAGTAGGCTGCTCCATCTTCACCGGTCTACTCCGCCAAGTGTAGACGTGGGAGGATTTGACTACGCAAGGGAATGTTAGGTATCTATCTTGTCGCCTAAATATATCATGTGTAATGCACGGCAACCATAGAGAAATAGATGGTGGTGTGTACATATATCTGACATATCTGATCAGATGCTTGACGGCTTTTATTTCCCCCCTTCTGCCTTTATATTATACGCGTATTATACAGTCAAAGCGTAGATCATATAGATACGAGACGTGATTTGATTCCTATTGGTTTCCCTACCGAACGATAGCTAACGCTTTTGCTTCTTCTAAGAGTTCGGTCCTACGGAAGAGGAATGTAGATGGATAGACTAAAAGTCCACGACGCCCATGTCTTTTTTCATGCGGTAATTATTTGCAGAGCTTTAAAATCGTCTTCACGGAGAAAAACTGACAGAAAAAACATGGGAACGCCCACGTGTGTGTAGGCAAGATGAACCCGCATCCATGGATAATGCAACTGGCGTACCGTGGCTAGCTGAAATGCGCATTAGCGATATGTCGACAGCTAAGTTGGTGGAATTTCTGAGTTGGTAATCCAATAAATACTACCGTTATCTGATCCGTCGTCAAGTTAATACATAATAAGAGGGATAATCACTAAAGCCTTGCCATATTTGGGTAATGTGCTAATCCATATCAGATGGAAGAGGTCCAAAACAGGATCTAGTTTGGCGATTTCACAGCATTAAGCACGTAATCATGGCACGCACGTAAGGTCTCGTCAAATACGCCAACAGATTTCGCCATGACTTCCCCAGTCGATCTCGCGCATTAGTGCTGATGACCCTCTTGTCTCTTGTTGGTCCTCCCACTCCCACGCTCGTGCCACCCCCGTTCAGAGAAGAAGAACTCGAAGGACTAACATTGTTGGAACTGATAAAATATCTCTCTCTAATTCGACCAACTTAGACGAACCCGCCGGTATCCGGTATGGTGATGGATTTTTGCTTTTTTTTTCCTTCTTTTTTTAATAACAGAGAGAAGACTAGGAGTTCTACAGCTAGTCACGTTCGATCAAACTGCAGGTTATCGCCGAGGGCAAACGGGTAAAGCCCCTCCAAAGACGCCGCTTACTGAATGAGGACGACACCACCACCACCATCACCACCACCAAGGGATTTGAGGCCACAACGCACGTCAATATTAGCTCTGCTCGCTAACTCTATTTTTCTTGATCGTACCTATTGCGGACCAGATTGAGTTATGACAGTAGTTTACCGAACTTATGGATGGCGTCTTAGTACTGGATTATATAGGGGTTATAAGTAAAACACAAATAATGTCAGGGGAGTTCGAACGGGACGGTCAAAATATATGCTGCGCGAAAGGGAACTATCCGATTAATATGGTCTAGTACTTTTATTTCGATCGGGAAGAAGAAAAGATAGGCAATGCCCAAGACAATCTATAAAAATACTCGTGCTACATGGCTACCGGAATTCAAAGTTTCATGGTTCGCCAGCTGTTCGGGATTGACGGGCTTGCATTGCATTGCATCGCATCGACTCCGTCTGTACTTGTTATAAGTGGGTTAACCAAGGTAATCTCTGAGATAAATCTTGATTGATCCTATCGCTATCCGACGAAAAACATTGAGTGTTCGGCTATGCGAGGTATATGTTGAGCGACTAGGACGTTGTACTACTACGACCGGCGAAAAGAGACAGGCAGGTAGGCAGGCATGGTTGTTAGACTAAGAATATAGCAAAGCTAAGTTGGTAAATGATGTCGACAAGCATTTCAAATGGTGAAATAGTGCGACCATGGCTTAGCTTACGCTCTTATTCGATATGCTGGCCGAGCTAAAAGGGGGAAAAGAACGTGGGGTAAAAAGCAGTATGAAGAGATGAGAGGCGTCCAACGACTTCGATAAGGACCTTTCTAGATACCTATTAGTACCCTGCTGTCCATTCCATTCAGCACATTAGCGGTGGCATTTTAGAGTTGAGACATGCCATACTCATACCCATACCCATACCCTCCTTTTTCTTCAAGAGGTGTGGCCTGAAGGGTTTCGAATCCGCCCAACGTTCTGCTCCATTCGCCGGCTACAGCCACGCAATGTACAGTGCGTCAGATCACCTGGAAGTCCAGAAAAGAGTCATCCTACAGGATCCCCAATAGCATCGGGCGATAGGGCTTATTCTTGTGATCAGGATATGACTGACCGGAAACGGTTGACTCCTTGACTTTTGATCACAGGCGGTGATGTGTGAGAATGTAAAAATAATACTAATAAAAATCTGGGTCGGGAATGCCGGCCGGCATCTTTCTGCTGCTACTCTACCAACCTTCTACCTAACGCACGGCCGGTCAGGGGTCGGCTTACCCTGGCCACCTACGTACCTTGATACATAGCCTTACCATTAAGGTTGGGCGATCCTCGAAGAACTCTTCTTCCTCATTGGGTGCTATTAGCTCAGATCGGGTATAAGTCTCACGCTGATTGGTTACCACCCTCGTGGCAACACTACTGTAGCAACCTTTGAAGACGTACGCTGTACAACTTCAACTTGTATAAACTTGTATGAAGAAGTTGCTTCCAAACTACCAATCAAGACGGGGCGGTGGAAGTCCCCATCATCTCTGCGGACAACCTTGATGAAGCACAGCTTTTGGCATGACATTCCACACGAATGCACCTCGAGCGTTTAAAGCCAACTTAGTCACGATGGTCTAGTCTGCTTTTCTTACTGGTGGCTTAGTCTACTTGTCGTTATCATGTCGTAAGACATGTCATTCTCGTCTGGGCGGTGACATGGACGTAACATGTATTAGACTCTTAACACAACTGAAGTGCGATGATAGACGCCTCTTCGGTGCATACTGATGATATCTGTTTCCTTGTTTGCTCGCTCGCTTGCTTGCTTGCTTGCTTGTGACCGTGCCCCATACCTACCACACGCGTACTTGTATTTAGAGGCACTCATATCCCCCGAAATTTTACACAACGGCGTATTTCACATTCCTTCCCTCGTCTCTCACTGCCTACCTAGGTACCCACCTAGTACTTGTGTGACACTTAGTCAAGATGGCTGTTGGCATCCAGTCGAAAGTCAAATCCTTCTTCCGTTCAAACCTAAAGAGAAGAAGGAGATTGAGCAGCCCATCTTCTGAATACGAATACAAGAAATTGAGGAATACATCGGCCACAACAATCGAGGATGATGTCGGCCCCAAACTTGATCTTCAGCTCGAGAGCCCGTTCTTCCGCAACTTACCTATTGAGATAAGGCGGATGATATACGAGCTTGTCTGGAGTGAGCCTCATGACCACAAATATCATACGCTACGGGGACGACACATCCACTTCGTAGATGGCCACTGGATTAACATGAGATGTGTCATGTATGAGGACGACGAGGATCTAGATCTCATCCAGAAAAATAGTATGTGTATTTCACCCAGAGCCTACCCCTTTTTCACGGCACCGAGAGATGAGAGTTTCATTACAATAGCTAACAATTTATTGCACCTAGTGGACATAGTTCACAACTCCGGAAAGGGAGATCTAGTAATGTGGCAACAGCGGCTGGCATCGACTTGGGGCGGCCGTCATTGGAGATGCGAGGAAAGAGTCCAGTACGGTACACAAAAGTCCGTAGATGGGACAAACTTCATGTCCATGATGCTCGTTTGTAAACGAATGTATGTCTCAGACGAACCCCATGCACGCTTACTCCCGTACCACACCTACTCCTACTACATTCGGACTCGACGTCATTAAACTAACCCGCCCTACTTATAGGTTACCTGAGGTTATGGAATCCATACTCGAATCGCACCAGTTCATCTTCAACGACTTTTTCTCGGCGCACAGGTTTTTCACCTGTAACCCATCGCCATATATCACACATATCCGCCACCTTGATCTATCACTCAGTCTTCCCTTCTACGAATATGCCCCGTTCATCGTGGATAGACCTAAGAGCAGAGTCCGAGAGTTGTGGGAAGCGCTAGAACGTATCTCATGTCTGCACGACCTGCGCATATCCTTAGACATCTACGATCACGGCCCGTGGCGGAAGATTCCTGAGCGGGGCGTCACCGCACAACTCAAAAACCTCGAGGTGTTAGGAAAGTTTACCGTAGAACTACCGCCCTCGCTACCTATCAGGACGCATACTCCTAACATGCAAAATCTCGACGCCCACGAGGAGCTGCCATTCAAAATAGTACGCCGCCCCCCACTGAGGTACTGGCAATTTACTCCGGGTGATGTGGAACGGTTTGGGTGGAAGACGCATACAAAAGGCCAGCAGAGCCACTGTTTCATTACTATTGATAGGGCGGCCAGACGAATCCCCAATCCCTATTTGTTGGATTTATTCTAAACGAGGCGAGAGAGACTGGAAACGGTTAAAGGTCATGTCGATTAAAAGCTCTATCTATCTAATGGGTATAAGAAATCAGCGCGATACCTATCCTAATACAGGTTTCCCTGCCGGCACCACCCCCCCCCAAAACAATAATTATTCTCGTCCAACAACTCATTCTCTCGGATGAGTTGTCCAACTGGAATTAAATTCACCTAGGATGCGTTCCTTAGAAGAAAGGTAGTTCGAACTCAAATCGACCACATGCTTCTTGCCATACCGTCATTAGATCTCGTAAATAACACCCTATTCGCTCCCCTATTCCGCTTCCGAGTCACACGTGCAATGTGCCGCGGTGGTATTTGAGCGGGAGCGGTCGCAGTAGGGTGATATGGGGGGGGAAGAGAGAGGGGAGGTTTGGTAAATGTGGTAACACGACACCCTCTCGTCTCGGCTTGGTTAGCCAAGAAAACGCATCACAAATATCGCCCGGCGGAAACACATATTCTATCATACGCCACCGTGCAACAAACCAATGATGCGGTTCTTCGTGTCACCTCAGTGAGATCTTATTCTTATTCAGGTCAGCGGCTAAACGGACTAGGTACCTAAGGTTACATCAACGAGCTACGAGCCGTAAGACAGAACTGTCCTATTTAAGCTGTTGAGCTTGAGTTAGGTAGCTCGGCTAATAAATCTTGTTGCTGCCACCAACTACCAACCTTATTATAATTTGTATTTTTAGAACTTCATCTTTACACAATGGTAGATAATTGTATCTTCCTAGGAAGCGTCGCTATAATCAGGCAAAACAAATAATGTCAATAAGACGTACCTCTTACTTCAGCCTTAAAAACGGACATGAGCTATTATACTGTATATCCTACGAATAAGCTGTTGGTATACAAAGCGAAATATAAAAAGCGCCAACCCGCCGCGGTCTAACCGAGTCGTAATCGCTGTTGTTACACAAACTTGACACCGTTATGCGATAGTGACCGTCTTTGGATTAGTTCTATCAACCTGAGCTGGATTCAGCTTATGCTTACGCCGGAGGAACCAACACCTTATGTGGCTCAACTCTTCTCGAAGCCGCTAATCGTACTCAGAATCTCGGTTCACGTTGAAATCGGTAATTCTCCGGCCTGTATGTTATTTAACAAGGGCTAGATGATGGTATCCTGTCTGGAATCGGGTAATTTCAACAACAGACCAGCAAAATCGTAATATATACTCATGTCACGTTTGGGGAGAGGGAGGGCGGAAGGGAGAAAGCTGCGAGTTTATTCCTGGATTTTTCTCTAGAAAACAAGCAGACTTCAAGCTTCTTCACTTGCAACGCCATTCCAAATACCTACATGAAAATGATAGCGATATCAGTGTTCTCACTTACACATAAGCACTAGCTAGGGACTTCACTACCCGCGTACGTCTTTCGGCTATACTACGGGCTTGCGAGAGGGTTTGAATACTCTGGAGGGCATAGCTTCTTTATCGAAATAGCATCTAACTTGTTAGTTACCTGTTCAGGTTGGGCCGACGTATCCGAGCTCATGGGAGGAAAACTACCTAAGCTTACCTTCTAATCTAAGCATATCATGGTCCATATATCAGCCAATTCGACCTCTACATTCTTAGTCTTGGGAGGCGTATTCACCGCTCACTTCTGCCTAGGGTGATTCCCTCTGCTAACAACTCGCATATCAGGGATATCTTGTACTTTTCTTGTTAGTTGGCCGTGAGATACTAGTCATACTAGGCTAGCACATTAGTTCAGCTGACTTTTGTATAACTCTCTCGGGTTCCATACGCCCCTATTTTACAGCATATAGTTACGCCAAGGTCCAATTGCGTATTTTGGGGCTTTCGATGTTAGGCCTACATGGTATCATGTGTAACTTGAAATTTATATACGAGCCTACCTATGTTGCGCGTCAACAATTTCCCTCAGTATTTACACTTTGGATGATAAGCGTGAAAGAGTGAAGATGATGAAAGAGTTAGAATAATAGAGGGCTAATAAAGGGGCGTAACGTGTCGAATCCATCCCGCAGAAAAATTATTGGAAGTCCTATTAGGCATTCTGTAGAGAAAAGCATAATTCTTAGGCTGCTACAGGAACTCGTAGCTGCACGTACTGAAAAGTATTCTTCGTCTTAGATCTGTCATCTTAAATCTCGGCACCCTGATGGTTATTAGCTAGTGTCAGATAGAATGTAATAGCAATTATGCTAATAAGAAATACACTTTTGGCTCGGCGGTTGTATCTCATAGGAGGTACCTAGGTACTGTGCTAGACTCAGGTATAAAGTAGACATCCCGAGAAATAGTATGGTACGTGCAACGTATTTGCCAATTTACTGCCAAAGAAGTCTCGTAGTGTTTGAGTCATCCTCCAGAGGCAACAATTTATCGATTGGTAGTTTCGGGACTTTGCTTGCTTGACTGAATTCGTGCTTCTGGCTCCTAATTTTTCAGGGGTTTGAATCGAATATGGACAAGTACAATACGAACTTCGAGCTCACCGTATGCACTTATTTTATATCTAAGTTCTTTGCGGGCTGCAGCTTTGCAAGAGACATCAATAGACTCATATGTAATAACTACCTAACCTAATTTAGAACGTGAAGTCTTAGGTACCTCAAATAAGAGTCGCTATACGGGGGTTCAAGGTTGAATAGCACTTACTTTAGCTTCGTGACCGTGCCCCCTTCAAAGTATTTATACCTACCTACCTACCTACCTAAAGGCCTCAAGACAGGTCTAAAAAGAATTGGATTTTCAGGCTTATGAGCTTCCAAGACAAGTGTCTCGAGCCTGTCTGCCGAAGAGAACGATTTCAGTAGAGTAATTAGAAGCCTGTAATGGCCAGTTGGGATCTTCTACTTATACATGAGAATCAACGAGTATGGTAGCAGTATAATGCTACTCTGCCAATGAATTCACCGTCGGGATATAGTAGATTATGTTAGGTAGGTAGGTATATATGATGACGGTGGAAATCCCACGGTCTTCCTCAAACGTGCCAATCTTGTTTTGAACCCATAAAGAATGAAGCTAACAAGAGATAAAGAGCCAGTTTGAGCCAAGGAGAAAATAATAACCCCCCCTTATAATAATACCATTGAGTTTCGTAAAGCAGTATAAGAGGTATATACGTGCTCAGATCATAACGTATGTAACTGCGAAACTGAGCGGCAAGGAGCCGATATTCCGCTCGAGGCAAAAGATTGGCACTAATCAGGTTGCCAATTATCGAAAATACAAAGTCGTGAGGTCTTCCACCTGGGCCATATTCGACTTTTTCAAGGCTTTTTTTTCATGCACAGTTTTTAGCCTTTGATCATACACCCCTCCGCTGCTTTCAACTTGCTACTAAATAACGCCCGTGCGCCCGACTCCGCGAGTATAGATACTACCTAAGGTAAGTAGAATTTTTTTCCTTTTCAAGTACCTTCCTCCCCAACTCGCCCTCCTAGGCCAAGTCCACCACCCAAATTTCGCATGTGAACCTCTCTGAGCCTGCCGACCCAATGTCGCCTCAGCACCGGCGTCATCTTAACAAATACCATCGCTTTATTCTCGTCTGTTAGAGCCTTCTCGGCAATTTTGAGCTGTAAGTCAGCTTCCTCTTCTGCGAACTCGCGGAAGAAAATCTCAACAGCCTGCTCGGACCATTTCGGCGGGCTACGGGCTCTGAGAGCCTCAGCTAAAGATAAAATACCATCTTCGATGATATTAGTAGAAGTGAAGGAAGAATGAAGTCCAGCCGGCGCAGAAGGGGTAGTAGTGGTGGTGGTGGTGGTGGCGGCGGCGGCGGCGGCGGCAGGAGGAGGAAGTGCGGAAGAAGAAGAAGAGGATGCCGGAGTGGTAGACTGCTGGGTATAAAAGTTGGAAGAAAAGCGCGAGGGTCGCCCGCGACGCTTCTCTTGGTAATTGGGTATTGGGTTAGGATTTGGTCGTTTTTGGGCTTGTGTGTTCGGGACGTGCTCATCTGGTGGTGTAAGCGCGCTCGGATTTGTGTTTATGGTTGTTCGGGGCGGGATAGTAGTTGACGAAGGTCTCTGCATAGGCTGGGGAACGGGAGGGGTTGGAACGGGTTGGCTTAGAGGTTGGGTTTGCTGAGTTTGGCTTTGCGCCGGAGTCTGAGCGAATATGTTCGATTCGAGAGAGGGATCAATAGCAGTCTGGTCTGCGGTACTCGGTCTACCGGACAGAGTACCGTCGGGATTCCTCCGTCTCGGCTTCATGATGCGTTTAGGGGCACCGCCGGAACCGACGACATCGGGGAATAGAATCTCCATATATTCTTCGTGGTCGAAAGGGCGACCCCTCAGGGCTTTGGACAGCGGTTCTTTCTACAAATCATAGCCTGGTCAACATCATTGGACAGACATTTATAAGATCCTTTGCTCCTCCTGCCTACCTCGAAATGTCTTCTCCATGCTTCCTCGCTTGCCGTAACCATTCGGGTGGTAGGGTTATATAAAAACTCTGGGTCCTCTCTTAACCCTCTCCACATACGGAACTTTTTACGCGCGTTGTCGGCTTTATTGATGAGGTGGCTCTTCTCGGGATAAGCTCCGTGCTTGTCGCGCAGGGCGACGGCGGCGCGCTCCCAAGCGCCCGACTTGAAGCTGTGGTTTTCTTTGTATCCCATCTGCATGGACTCGCATAGCGACCTGAAGAAAGTCTCTTCATAAGCCAGGTTCCAACTGAATCGCGGGGTTCGTCTGTCGGCATTGCGACGCGAGGTTCGCGACGCCGTGACTTCAATCTCGTCGTCCGACATGATGACGGCGGTTTTCTGACTAAGGATTGACGACGTCGATGACGATCGCCTGCAGGATGCCGTTAGCGATTACCTAGGACCAGCTGTTCCGATTAGATGGGAAAAAGCTGTTATCGCTAAGACGGGTGGGAGCCCTGATGCGATGTGCTTATCGCTGAAGCTCTCTTCCCGGGGTTTAGAGCCGTTGGAACGGGGGGGTGGGAGGAAACAGACTAATACGGTAGGAAATTCGAGGCTGGGGGGAGAAAAGGTCAAGACCTTTTTTTCCTTTTTTTCTTCTCAGTTTCAAACGGTTACGGAAACATAACGACTAGTGGCTGGTGACGTCACGTGTTGGATGTGGCTTTAAACAATTTTTATCCTTAAGCGCTGAAACTTCAAATTTATTTCTAATAAGTACCTCTGATGTGTGCTTGAGTAGGAGGTAAGTAAATACAAAACTGTTGTTATCAATCATTAAATTACCTACTAAAAGTATTTCATTGTATTTGATGTTGCGATTATTATACGAAATTATTACGTAGGAAAAGGCAGCTAAAGTATACCAACAGATGGGTATCCAGATATTGATTGATACCTGAGATAAGGTTTGTATTGTACGTGGACAGTTGGACATGCGCTATCGATAAAATGATGGAGACCGATAGGTACCTACCTGACTTCATACCTTAGGTAAACTAAAAGTTACTAATGCAAAAAAAAAAGCCCAAGTCTTTTAAATCGTCCCCGCAAACTTGGAAACTTAGAAACTTCCAGTTCATCTCAACTTCTCTGCAGCTTCGGACAAGAAAATTCTTGCAAGCTTCTTCTAGCGTCAAAGTATTTCATAGGTAGTATTTGTAACGGAGAGTCCTTCGAACCTCCCTTGTTCCTTTTCAAATTGAAATCGTATTCTCATTACCATCGGCTTTCTGACTTCTCATATCTGGCTTGAACCCTGCGTTGTTCTTGAAACGCTTTAGAATCTCCGTTCAAGGCTCGGCCATTGGCTCCTCAGAAGTTCGAGACCAGGAGATGCCCCGTTCCTCTTTGTCTGGACTTTTGTCCGGGGGGTTAGGAAACAGAAACACCCTTGATGACCTTTTCTACTGATTCAATACCTCATTTAGGTACCTACCTCTAACCTACATAGTGTACGATGGAGTCGTGATCTGTAACTCTTGTTAATTTTTTCAGTTGATCATGAAGAATGTTGTCATTATTCAATGGCTTTCCCAACATACTATTTCAATATATTAATTTTTCGGGACTTTATAACCGTTAACCCGAGTTTCCAGATTCTCAAGCTTGACGCGGCCCTTCGTCATCTTCGTCCATTTCTCTCCACGGACTCATCATAGTCTGTCGGGAGGCCCTCAGGCCCTGTCAGCAAATATGATATGGTCCATAAAGGTACGGACGGCAACGAATTATCAAAGCGCAAATCCCCAGGAACCGTTATGGGGCTCGATGCCCCTGCATTAGTTTCCGGGGTTCCATCGCTAAAGATGTATCTATCTTTCAACCACTCAGGCTTCGTATTGCGGTTTCGCCTACCCGTTATTTAACTGCCCCCACTGGTTATGCCACACCGTCTGTCTGGGAAGAGTCGTAGTGGATCCCGTTTCGATTGGCGATGGAGAGCATGACGACGCAGGTCCTATTCTAGTCAACAGCTCCGCCGTTCATCTACCACTCGAGACACACTGCGCGTCACGTCTGGGATCGACCTTGGCTAGCTTGGCTAGAGCTTGTTCCCAACTTCCATGCAGATCGAATGATGGCTGACTGGGGTTAATCCCCACAGCACCCCTTTCCTTTTCTCTTGGCTTTCGTTTGACTTCAAAAGCAGACCTCTTGGCTCTCGTCCGAATATCTCTCTTCTGCTTCAACTCTCATGAAGTTCGTTGTCTGAGACAACTTCTATTTCATAGCTACTTTATTTTCCGTTTTCTTTTCTTTCGGTCTTTTCTTGTTCCTCCAGTTCTTTAGCTTCATCACCCTTCTTTGTAAATCTTTCTTCTTAACCGACCTTACCTGGTCTAACAGCCAATCGAGGCCGGGTCTCTTCCGAGTCGTTTCTTTCGTTTAGTCCACCTGGTGTGGTGATACGTAAATTATTTACGACGTCCTTTTATTGCCTTTTATTTCGTTTAGGATTATAGCAAGATGCAGTCTTTCGCCAAGTTGTTGCTCCTCTTCGGGCTCTTAGCCCTGGCTTCCGCCTCTCCGGCTAGGATCAACAAGCGAGGCGTATACAAGGTCGAACGAGTTCCGAACCCTAATTACACCGGTCGTAATGGCCCCCGAGCTCTCCTGAAGACGCTCCGCAAATATCGTATGCCTATACCGGCATCCGTTGCGAGCGCTGCTCAACAGCAGACCGAGATGATCTCGAAGAGAGAACCCAAGAGGGGTCGCAGAAAGGGTCAAAAAGGACAAAAGGGAGGTGCAGCCGCCGCAAATGGCAACGCCGCCGGATCTGGCAATGGAACTGGTCTCGTCGAGGCAACCCCCGAGGCTAACGACGTCGAGTATCTGTCTCCTGTCACTATCGGCGGTCAAACTCTGAACCTCGATTTCGATTCCGGCTCTTCTGATTTGTGGGTCTTCAACACTCAGCTTAGCAAAGCCGCGACTCAGGGCCATACCGTCTATGACCCGACTAAATCTAAGACCTTTGCTCTCATGCAAGGTGCCTCGTTCCAAATTTCTTACGGTGACGGCTCGGGTGCTGCGGGCAACGTTGGCGTCGACACCGTGGATGTCGGTGGCGCTACTGTTACCCAGCAAGCTGTAGAGATGGCTACCGCTGTTTCTCGATCTTTCGTTGAGGACACCAACAACAACGGTCTCCTCGGTCTTGCATTCAGTACGCTCAACACCGTCCAACCCGCTCAGCAGAAGACGTTCTTTGACAATGTGAAGTCGTCGCTTGCTGAGCCTATTTTCACCGCCGACCTCCGCGCGCAAGCAGCTGGCGCATACGAGTTTGGACGTGTGGATACGAGCAAATTCACGGGCGAGATGACGTGGGTTCCTGTCAACACGACGGATGGTTTCTGGCAATTCACGAGCGAGAAATTTGCAGTCAACGGTGGAACTACCCAGACTTCTACTGCCGGAGCGCAGGCCATCGCTGACACCGGTACGACTCTCCTTTTGGCCGACCCTGCTGTGGCTAAAGCCTACTACGCGCAAGTCGATGGCGCTGTCGATGACGAGCAGCAAGGTGGCTTCACGTTCCCTTGTGATGCGACGCTACCCGATCTTCAGATAGATGTCGGTGGTAACATGGCTACTGTCAAGGGCACCGACATCAACTTCGCTCAAGTCGACGATCAGAGTAAGTTCTATCTATATACAACTTCCGTTAAGAGGTTCCCCGTGCTAATAAGTAACAGCTTGCTTCGGCGGTCTACAAGCCACGACCGCAGGTCTCCAGATCTACGGTGATATCTTCTTCAAGAGCAACTTCGTCGCATTCAACGGCGGTAACAACACCCTTGGCTTTGCCCAACACGTATAGATATGCCTCTTGCATGTAAATATACCTATGTGTACTATTTCCTTACATGCGAGTTTTGAGCATAAATTGTACATATGTGAGATTTTGATTCGTAAAGGGGCACGTGTCAGGATAAGGTAGACTTAGAGAATTAATTCGAGGCCGTAGAAGCCAACGGGCCTAGTTGGTATGATTATTGGTACATTAGGTACCCGTACAATTGAAAAGAGCATTTACATTCAGCAATGCATCACGCGAAGGATTTGGGGTGACTGCTACATAGTATTTGTTTGTGTCGTCTGCCCTGCTGCCCTTACTCAGGAGGCCTCTCGCGCGGCTGTGGCGTCTGGGGGGCGACAGGATGCATTGCTCATAATGCACCTCATCCTCAAACACTCATGCAAACCATATTTTTCTATTTCTGGTTACGGATATTTCGTTTCCTAGTCTAATATGTTTTAACTTGCTTCCTTTCGACGAAGAGACTGATCTGATCTACTATTTAAGAGAGAGTTACTTGGTCGTCGCACCTCTTGACGCCGAGCTTATTTCAAATGTTAGCATTGGCAAATGTAACGAGGAATATTCTGTTTGATGTCTTTATTTTTTATTTTTTTTGTTGTTCTTAATGCAGGCCTCGGTTTCTAAACAAATGTCCGAAGTCGGACAAAATCATTGGTTCATGAATACCACCCGGTTGTTTCCTAGAAATGCAGGCAGACGAGTACCTAAGGTACCACCCTTCTCTGGACCCTCTATAAAGTTCATCTTGGCTTTAGCCAGGTTTCCAAAATTTGCTAACGAGTTATCTGATCCATTTAAAGTTATCTGATCCGTCCCCGGTGGAGAAAGACGCGCATTGGTGTCGTCTTGGTTCGGGTCTAACGGCCTCCCATAAATAACGTCTAATGCCGAAGAGGAAAGTTGCTACCAATCCAGTCTCGTTAGTGACTATTCTCTCGTACCAGTGTTAGTAAATCGTACAAGAAACAGCTTGCCGTTGTCGGCAAGAATGGAGACAGGTATGAAAATATCACGTACGCTGTTGCGGCCTTTTCCCTACTTAGGCACTTGGCCTTCTAGGCATTCGGTCTATGGAAATTTTTCGAGTTCAGGATCGGCGGGCTTAAATTCTGCATCCTGTATGGAACCTACCTACCTACTTAACAAATCGCTAGAAAGCCTAATTGCTCATTGATTTTATCCCATGAAAACTTTGGCCAACAAGTTGTAAGTCCTGGTGATAAATATCAACTTAGGAGCAGTTGTCGACATCAACAACAAAAATTCAACAATGGGCCAGGCAGATGTAGACAGTTCGTGTATAGACTCCGTATGCACGGACGAAGGCATCTCCAGTGACCATCTTACAACTCCACCAACGGATCTCGAGGAAGATGGCTTAACATCAGAGCAGTTGGAACAAATATGGAGCTGGAATACTCCAGTCCCCCCGACCCTAGAGTTCTGTATGCATGAACTGGTGGAAAAGCAAGCCAAACAAGATCCCGACCGGCCCGCTGTTAACTCATGGGATGGAACATTCACATACCAAGATGTCTGCTCGAAATCGGACCAGTTAGCAGCTCATCTACTATCCGTAGGTGTCGGGCTAGGCTCGATCGTGCCGTTATGCTTCGAGAAATCAAGATGGACAGTTGTAGCTGTGCTTGCCGTCATGAAATCAGGCGCGACATTCGCGCTGATGGACCCGAGCCAGCCCGAAGGTAGACTACGCACCATCGTCGAGCAAACCGGCGCCTCTACAATCATAACATCGAAGCTGCAAGAGAGTCTCGGTCGTCGCATTGCACCAAGCGCGACTCGCGTTGTCCTCTCTGCCGAACAATTTGATAGTTATAACACATCCGCAAGCTTGCCATCCGTACCACCAAGCGCGAATCTCTATATACAATTTACGTCGGGCAGTACGGGCAAGCCGAAAGGAGTTATAATAACACACGAGAATTATTCCAGCGGCGCGATACCACGAGCGGACATAGTCGGGTATCGCGCACATTCGCGGGTCCTCGACTTTGCATCGTACGCCTTTGACGTCTGCATCGACTGCATGCTATGCACGTTATCGGTGGGAGGTTGCCTATGCATCCCTTCAGATGCCGATCGAGTGAACGATCTCAGCGGTGCTATACGGAAGATGAATGTCAACATGGCCCATATGACACCTTCCGTCGCCCGCGTCTTGGATGCCGACGTCATCCCTTCGCTCGAAGTTCTCGGATTGGGAGGAGAGGCCATATCCGCGGGTGACGCAGCCACTTGGAGTCGAAATACAAAAGTTATCAATGCGTACGGCCCTTCGGAGTGTACTGTAGGCTGTGCCGTGAATGGGGATGTGGGTGCCGAAAGCCACAAGGCGCATGTTAGCATCGGCAGAGGAGTTGGAGGAACGCTGTGGATTGTCGATCCTTCTAATCACGACCGACTTATGCCAATAGGCGCAGTTGGCGAGCTTCTAGTTGAAGGTCCTATAGTAGGGCCAGGCTACTTGAACGATCCCGAAAGGACGGCTATCTCGTTCATTAGCGATCCGAAATGGCTTCTAGCTGGGAGCGCGCAGCACGCAGGGCGGAGGGGACGACTGTACAAGACCGGCGACTTAGTAAGATACGAACCGGATGGGACGATCATTTTCGTCGGCCGAGGTGACCAGCAGGTGAAATTACGCGGCCAGCGGATCGAACTAGCAGAGATCGAGTACAATATGCTAGACAAACTACCCCCAGGGACCCGTGTTGCCGCCGAAGTTATCAGACCTGGCGGACCTGCTGGCGAACCGACATTAGTTGCCTTTATCGCGGAGCGAGCAGGCCTCGTATCCGAATCCGAATCTCTTTTAGGATCATTATCGCCTCAAGTTAAAGATTCGCTCGCGGGAATGAATAAGGCTATATCGGAACACTTACCAACCTACATGGTTCCGGTGGCGTATATTCCTCTACAGGTTATGCCTTTGCTAGTTTCTGCTAAAACAGATCGCAAACGTCTTCGAGAGCTGGGGCATGCGCTTAACAGGAAAGATATAGCCGGGTTCGCCGCTGCGACCGTCCCTAGAAAAGAACCTTCTACGGAGATGGAAAAGAAACTGGCCCAGTCATGGTCCCAAATTCTCGGTCAAGAAGTTGATATTGGCGCTCATGACAACTTCTTTAACTTAGGAGGCGACTCGCTTCGTGCGATGAAATTGGTGGCTCAAGCGCGAACGCAAGACATCGCGCTCACGGTCGCTGATATATTCGCCAACCCTGTGCTCTCAGACATGGCCCTCGTTGCGAAAGTCGCATCTGGAGAAACTACCATCGAGGTTCCTCCTTTCTCGCTCCTCGGTAGCCAGTGGTCGGTAGACTCGGCTCGACGAGACTGCGCCGCCATCTGCGACGTTGACCCCTCAAAGATCGAAGACATTTATCCGTGCACGCCGCTTCAAGAAGGACTCATGGCTCTGTCTGCTAAAGTCAGCGAGGCATATGTTGCGCAGCGCGTGGTCGAGCTTGCGGACGAGACGGCAGCCCGGAACCTCGCGAAGGCGTTTGAGGTAGCTTCTGCGGATTGCGCAATCCTCCGGACGAGGATAGTCCAAATCGCAGGCCACGGATTGATGCAAGTTGTCATAAGAGACGATTCCAACTGCAACTGGTTATCCGGAGAGAGCCTCAATGATTATCTAGTACGAGATAGGAGCGATCCGATTCAACTTGGCAAGCCCTTGGTTAGATATGGCGTAGTGGTTAACGAGAAGTCTACGGGAAAGTCGCATTTTGTCTTGACGATGCACCACGCTCTCTACGATGGGTGGTCGATGCCTTTGGTAGTCGAACGAGTTAATCGAGCATATGTCGGCCTCGAAACTAAACGACCAGCCGAGTTTAAGCACTTCATCAAATATCTCACTAATATGGACCGCAAGGAATCAGAGTCTTATTGGCGAGAACGATTAGACGGGGCCAACAACGAGCAATTCCCCCCTCTCCCCTATTCAAGCTACCAACAACAAGCCGACTCGCTTTTGGAACACTACGTACATACCAGCAAGCCTAATACCGGAATAACTATCGCCACGGTTATCCGCGGTGCCTGGGCACTTCTGGTCTCGACCTATACCTCATCTAATGATGTAGTGTTTGGAGAGACGCTCACCGGGCGCAACGCTCCTATCGCAGGCGTTGAACAGATCGAAGGGCCTATGATCGCGACGGTACCGGTTAGAGTAGCCGTGAACCCCAACATGACCGCGAGGGAGTACTTACAGGAAATCCATGACCAATCCGTCCTAGGGATCCCCCACGAGCACTTTGGCTTGCAACATATCAGACGCCTAAGTCCGGACGCTCGCGAGGCATGCGAGCTGAGAACCGGGTTAGTCTTGCACCCAAGCGCAGACGCAGACGCAGCGAATGCCAGCGAAAAGCAACCAGCGGACGGCTTTGTTCCTGCCGGCGACGAGGAGGCAGCGCAAGAAGCGTTGAAGTTCAACACGTACGCTCTGATGCTGGTGTGTTCCTTGGACCCGCGGGGCTTCTTGATCATGGCAAGCTTCGACTCGAAAACCGTAACAAGCCCGCAGATGGAGAGGATGCTGCGCCAGCTTGAGAAGATTACACAGCAGCTCATCGAGAACCCGGATGCTAGATGTGATCAACTTCAGCTGCTATCCGAGGAAGATGTGTCTGAGCTCGCTCGCCTAAGCCAGGTTGGTTCAAAAAGCCTGACTGTCGCCACTTTGCTCCCTGCTGGGTGTGAGGCATCTGAAACATGGGTCGTTGATCCCGTCGATCCAGAGCGGTTGCTTCCCGTGGGTGCTGTGGGAGAACTTGTAATAAGGTGCTCGGGCGAACCAGGTCTGGAGCTGGTCTCGCCTCCCAAATGGGCTGATCATGATCGTGCCGGTCAGTTTTACAGAACTCATAAGCTCGCGAAATACGATGCCAATGGTGAAATTACCTTCGTCGAGCGGAAGAGCTCTAACGGAGTAGTCTCTGGTGGCTCGCGGGAAAAGCGCGTCTCAGCCACCTCCGCGAAGCAGAAGGGTCTCCGAAGAGCTTGGAGCCAAATATTAGGCATTGACGAGGATGAAATCAGCTTGAACGACAGCTTCTTCCAGCTTGGCGGCGATTCCATCGGGGCCATGAAGCTCGTGTCGGAGCTCCGGGCTAATGGGATGGAATTGACGGTGCCTGAGATATTCAAGCATAGGACGTTGTACGATATGGCAAAAGTCATAAGAGAGGAAAAGAAGGCGGCGGCGGCTGAGCCGGTCGAGCCGCCACCGTCTCCGTTTTCATTGCTCGACGTCCCGGACGTAGAAAACTTCATCTCTGAAACGGTCAGGCCACAGCTCCTCCCAGGCGATCATAAGATCAAGGACATCATCCCGGCACGCCCGCTCCAACAAGTCGCGGTTAGAGGTACAACCCACCTCCCTCGGTTTTCCGCACGATATGAACTATTCCATTTCGACGGATCCCTAGACAAGGAGCGCCTCTTCAAAAGCTGCCGGGACCTGGTGAACCGTAACGAGATTCTGCGGACCGTTTTCGTAGAGAGCGGCGGGCAGTGTTTCGGCGTCGTCCTCGAAAAGCTCGACGTCGCAATAGAACAGTACGATATCGAAGGCGACCTGGACTCCTTCGCCCATAAGCTATGCGACGTCGACGTCCAAACCAAGATGCCCCTAGGCTCCGCCTTCGTAAAATTCATATTTGTCCAAGGCGCCGCCGCCAAGAGCAGCTGTCTCGTCTTCCGCATCTCCCACGCGCAGTACGACGAGGTCTGCCTCCCCGGTCTTATACACCAGCTCGGGGACCTCTACGACGGCAGAACCCCCGTGGACTCGGTCCCCTTCTCCGCCTTCGTGTACCACGTCGTGAGCAAGTGCATCCCGCGAAGCATCCCTTACTGGCGGGACCTGCTGCACGGCAGCTCGCTCACGATCCTCCGCCCGGACCTTCCGCTGACGTCTACGACCCCGGCCGCGATCGCCCGGACGCTCGACATCTCCGCGCGGTCTCGGGACATCACGGTGGCGACGCTCCCGACCGCCGCGTGGGCGCTGTGCCTCGCGCGGCGCCTCGCGCGGCGGGACGTGGTGTTCGGCGAGGTCGTGAGCGGGCGGAACACGGACCTCGCGCGCGCGGACGCCGTCGCGGGCCCGACGTGGCAGTACGTCCCCGTGCGGGTGCGGTTCGAGGACGGGTGGACGGCGGCGGACCTGCTGCGGCACGTGCAGCACCAGCACGTCGCGAGCGCGCTGCACGAGTGCATGGGCCTGGCGGAGATCGTGCGCGAGTGCGGGCCGCTGCCGGGGTGGCCGGAAGCGGAGGGGGCGGAGTGGTTCGATTCCGTGGTGCACCAGGACGTGGTGCACGTCGAGGAGCTGGGTTTCGGATTTGGATCGGGCGACGACAACGACGACAAGCAAAACGGAAGTAGGGGCGTGGGCGGGGCGACGTGCCGGTTCGAGACGGTGTATCCGCACCTCGAGCCACTGCGCGAGTGGAAAGTGCAGGCATTTGTGGACGGTGACCGGTTGACGCTGGAGCTGGTGACGTTCCAGGATTGGATAGGGGTTGCGGCGGAGTTGCTGGACGAGTTGGAGGAGATTATGGGGATGTTGGTGAGGAGGCCGGATGAGCGACTGTTCTAATTGGGACTACATATCCAGGTTAGAACGTGAGCGATATATATAACCTCTTTTTGTAGGTGCCTATCTGATGTATGTCTTGTATTGATATAAAGCTGGCTGGTCGACGAAACCTCATCTTCGGCGGTTTGTGTGCCTTGAGTCCTTGAGTGCTATAGTTTAAAGATTGGCACGAATAACTCTTGTTTAGTGAATTACCATAGGTCGTAAATATATCAAGACATTTTCGGAACTGTATGACATTCTCACGAGTTCATTCCAAGGCAGCATTTATATATACCCAATATTTGCTCACGCCGCCGAAACAAGCCTGGATGGTAAATGAAATTCCAACATAGTATAGTGGCCTTATTAAATATTATATACCAGTTAGGGAATCCTGCGACTCGACTTTGAACAACTTGATTTTATGAAATTGGTGTATATACTAGGCAACATCCAAAAGGTTAATGTGCCCATAACTCAAGTTGATACAAATACCAGCCAAAATACTAAACCGACAACCCACCTCGGGAGCTTTGATAGTCTAAAACTCGCTGCCAAAATTCAAAAACAAGATTTGCCCGTCATCTAAACATTAATCTACTCGCTCCGACGGGATCCGCTGAAACGCCAGTACAGGTCACCTTATAACTTAACGTCGCGGCCGATTTATATTCTCGCATTCACAGGCTTGCCTTCAGCTCTTGCCTTCCTTGTCCTATACGCATCTCGGTAGTTGTATCGCTCGTACGTACCGAAAGCGTAAAATCCAACTCCGATTACCAGCCAGATGCTAGTGATAATGAGACCGACGGGGAAAATGAGGATATTGACACCAGGTAATACGAATGCGACTGTGCCCTCGTGCAGTTGAGCAGTGATGTTATCGACCGCTAACTGGGCGAGGGTGAAATCCGACATGACAACCTCGGTCGAGAAAATTCCATTAACGAAGGCCGCCTCGTTGGAAGAAACATTTGTGCTGACTTGCTGGCCCACCAAGTTCTTTCCCGTTAGAGTCACAGTCGGCATTACCAACGCCTCCAGAAGACCCCTTATTTTAAACGTCAGTATTTGCGCAAAGCCATAACAAAGCGAAATGTAATTTTAAATGAAATTAGGCACTTACATCGTCATAGGTTGAGCCATTTTGGCCTGATCTATTTGACCAACGAACATGTACGACTGGAGGAGGGTAGGCGACGAATTTTCTCGTTTGGAGGTCTTTGCTGGTTGCACGCCCTGACCAACCGGCGAGACGGAAGCTCCGTTGTATTGAAGTCCGACGGAGATATCCTCTGGAGGAATACCTTCGAAATCTCCGAAAGGTGTCGATATTTGGAAGAGGCGCAAATCGGCCATGAATTTACCAGCGTTCGTGTCGAGGCTGTACAGATTGTAACAAACAGCCGTTCCTGAAGGGTTCGAAGCAGCAGCGAGCTGAGACAGCGCCGTTACGCAAGCTGCTGTAGTGTCGGTGTTCCACTGAGTCATATTCAATTGCGAATCATTCGTCGTTGTCGACTGTCGCTTTTCCACCGAATCGCCATTGGAACTGATATCCGCATCGTCGAATCTTGCGTCCAATACGTCCGCGCGCGGACTTAGCATACCTCCCATCGCAGGTTCCACGCTAGCTAACGCCGACGAGGCAAGTAGCAAAGCTACAGCAGCACCCGACCAAACCATCCTAGCAAGTTGACCTTCGCTTTCGATTATGTATATTAACCTAAAGTAACTCTCTGTCGAACAGTTTAAAAAAATAAGCCGGCCGGCGGTCGAAGGAAGATGGTATATTCTGTAAAGACTGTCTGGGGAAGATGGTGTGGAACCTGTCCGTAATTATAATTCGTACGTTTCTTCGACTTTGGCTAGGAGCGGAGACCAAAGTGGCGCCGATCAGATTGGAGATCCAAAGAAGTAGGAAGAAAAGGGAAAAAAGGGACCTGCCCACAAGAAGGGAAAGGCGGCTGACTATGTTTTGTTTAGGACGAGAGTAGTAATCCGAGGGAAAGGAGAGAACTGGGAAAAAGAGGCGGGATATCAACTCGATAGCTTAGAATAGAATAGATGCCAATACGACAAGGTGATAAGGTGACAAGGGACCCGTAACGAAAACAGGCCCCAGTTAGACGACAATTAATGTCAAATGGCAAATGGCATGACGGTGGGTCGGTTGAACGATCTTGCTCGGCGGCCTAGAGCCTAGAACAGATTCAAGTTGCAAGGGTTGCAAAGTTATGGGAAAGGTCTTTTTTTTTTTCTGATGTCCAACTAAGACAAGTAGAACCGAGTAAACAGTTGAAGACATGAGACCTCGTAGTCCTTGCTGATTATCATACTCCTTCTGCGGCAACGAAGGACCCCCTTAAAGACACGAGATATCACGTTAGGTATTACATAGAAGAAAACGAGGAGTCGAAAACAAAAAGGACTCTGCAGCAGGGTGGTGGCACAATAAGACAGAGAATGCTACGTATCGTAGATGTACAATACAGTACTGCTGTATGAAAGTAGCATGTTAGCTGCGCCGGCGCGAAGCCAACGAATAAAAGAATGTGAGGCTGACCTAAACCCATTAAAGATACGATAATATAACAATACCTGTTTACCCGGATCATACTTACTATAGTACACACCTATCATACAAAATAAAAATGAAGATGAATAACCAAGGATTCTATCAAAATTACGGTATACTATGTAGGTAACGAGTGTTGGCCTTTGACGCTTTGCCGGTTTCCGTCAACGTTAGATCGGCCGATGATGTGACATTGATGAAGGAGGAAGAGGTTTCGAGATTTTGAGATTTTGAGATTTTTTGACCAATCGGCCCTCTCCTTAAGCCCTTATTTTTCTTTAACGGGCTTTAGAGCTGGCCTAGGAACATCCCTAATAAACACCCCTGAACCACGTATGGTCGCATCTTAAAGTCTTAGAGCCCCCCAATTCCTACAATTCCCCCCTAAGCGACCCCTGATCTCGTGTCACAACCCCTGGTTAGCCAAGCGCCGAGCTGACCTATCATATTTCGTTATGTACGCTAAAAGTTAGGCGAAGAAACCCAGCTGCACCTAAGCCGTACAAATGTCCAAATGTCATCCGTAAAAGAGAAAAAGAACAACTGAATTTACCGAACCCATCTATGTCGATCAGCTCGACTTGTTTCTACTATGTATTAAGGCAAAGAAGACTTACGGTAATATTCCTATGCACTCGACGAAATTTTAGAAATGATGACAATAAAAATAAATTCAAATACATTTTTTTTATTCGGGCGCCGTAAACCAAAATCTCAGCTGATGATGCTGTTAGCCAGTAGGATGCCAGAACTGCTGATATTTTTATGTTTTATTTTTTATTTTACTCATTAATGTGATCCTCTATCCAAATAAGTCTAAAAGCAAGTATTTTAAGATCGATCGCATCCTTTAAGAGGAAAACACTCGATTGCGGAGGTCGATCACCTGCTTTTATAGGCAAGTCAACTGCTCTCTCCAACAGGCAAACAGGTATATTATTAACGCCAACGTCTCTCTTATACAAGCAAGTCACGATTTTCCTATACAAAATGCATCGTAAGGATTTAAGACATAATAAAGTAGGTGGCCCAACACATCTGACGCCAGCCGTACTGAGCTCGAGCCATCATTCATCAAAGTACAACCAGTTTAGGCGCCTGGCAGATAAAAATAACTAAAACAAAAATGAGGGCTTCTGTTGAGAGCTGCACGGAAGTACAATACCCATAAGAATGATCTAATATTACCATGGACCTTACGACGGATCACTGCATTAGCACAACTACGCGATTAGGTACATCCACAACAAGTCGACCCGGGCAAACCCGACAAAGGCAACATCATCGTCGTTGGTAATACACGCGCTGCATTTATAAAAGGCAGATTGGATGCCGAAACGGTACCTCATATATATTGAGTCTTGCTAGATTAAACGACGAGTTCGCTGACGTTGTAAACACAAGGCGTTCTGCATAACGTCGGTATTCAGCCACCATTATCTATCTGTAATCCATTCCACCCAATATATAAAGACGTACCTATCCGTCACTCAAAAGGTGTCTAGATACGGGCGCTGTTGTCGAAAAGCAGCCTGACTGATAATTCGATTCCCATCGTCTTATCCAGTTATAATATGTTGAGCAGCATATAAGGCCAGTCCCTCATACTGCAAACGGATTCCGCAGCCTATACCAAATCGAGTCCAAGAAACTGAATATATATAAGAGGAAGCCGGGCTATCCATGAGAAGTCGTAAATTTGATAAATGCAAAAAAAAAAAAAAAAAAAAAAAAAAAAAAAAAAAAAAAAAAAAATGGGGGGAGGAGTATTGTGGAAAAATAATATTTAATAAACGTAGTTAGTTGGGGGGTTTTAATCCGATTTAGTGTTAATAGAGACCGGGGAACCAA